GAGGCTTTCGGGAAACTTTGTGACTACTTACATGACAACAAATAGGGTTTTGCAGTATGGCATAGGAATTTATACGCGCCGAGATTTTTAACGGTCGCATAAAAACATAAGAAGCTCGTTGTTACGGCAAATATCATCGACAATGGTCGGAACTAAAGGGAAAATGTACACAGAAATAAAAGTAAAGGAAAGGCGTTTCCTGGAGTTCAGAAACAAGCGAAAAGAGAGACAGAAACAACCGAAATCGTCAATCAAACTCCAAGCAGGTCTCGCGATTGCTCTGACTCTGGGGCTGAATGAAAAGAATTCATTGGTACTTCTGGAAAGAAAATGAAGATGTCATCCTCGCCTAATGATTCTTACTCTGAGCTCTTGGAGAGTGAGGATGCAAATGATGTGTTACAGGGACAAGGATACAGGCTTATCGATCTAGAGAGATTCTCCTCGACACTCACTGAAGGACATATTTCTGAAGAAGGTGTGAATTTACTTGGTTCTGTGTAACCAACTTAAAAAGCTCTTTTAGAGGTTGTCATATGAATTCCCGAAAACACTTATTTTGTACCTCAGGATGTATTAGTTCAATTAATCTGAAGTTTTCAGGGCTGTATCCTCTTACTGAGTTGAGTTGGATAAGCTGACAGTTTCTCTATAAGCTGAATTTTAAGTAAGATATTGTGGAATAACTCACCAAATAATCTCGGTGAACTTTGAACGGGCACTATGCCCATAATATAAACAACTCCAAAAGTTCCTCAGCTCATCCAAAAGAACGACCCTAGTACTTTGTTTTGACACTAAAAACACTTGATTTCATGCAATCTTTGTGCAGTTATCTTTTCTCAAGTATACCTAGGTTTTTAACACCATGTGGTGGACAAATTGATCTGATGTCAAATAACAAATTAGTTTAGGGCAACATATTAGTTATATTCAGTATGTGTGATTCCTAAGCTTTCCTTTGGTATATAGGTTAATATGGTTCAGAAATATAGTCATTGAAGTACTCTTGTTTGCCTTTTTTTCATGTTTACCCCCTCTGTAAGAGTAATCTGAGTCTGGTCATAGTCTGGTCCTAGACAAGTTTAACACCTATATTTTGGTCTTCTTATCTTTGAGCTGGACTGTTGCCAGATTTTTTGGAAAATGAAAATCTTAGTACTAACCTAAAGTCTGAACAGAAATAGTGTAGAAGTAGTCCTACTAGAAGAGGATGGGTAATTCTCGTTTAGCAATAAAAAAAAGTTTTATCTTCATTTTTTTATGTTTGGTTCAATTTTTCTTTTTAACTTAGTATAAGGATTTAAGTATGCTTATTTTCTTGTCAAAATTTCGAAGGTTCTATAACATTCTTGCTAAGATCTTCAAAAGATCTTTCAATTTATTGCCAAGATCTTTAAGGGTCTTTATTTTCTTTCCAAGATCTTTAAGGATCTTCAAAATTTTCAAAAAGATCCTTGAAGATCTTGGCAAGAAAATGAGAGATCCTCGAAGATCTTAACAAGAATTTGGAAGATCCTCAAAGAATTTTCAAAGATCTTTAAAGGATCTTCAAAGTTCATGTAAAGATCTTTGAAGATCCAGACAAGATCTTCAAGGATCTTGACAGGAAAATGAAAGATCCTTAAAGATCTTGTCAAGAAAGTCAAAGATCCTCAAAGATCTTGGCAAGAAAATGAAAGATCCTTGAAGATCTTGGCAAGAAAATGAAAGATCCTTGAAGATCTTGGCAAGAAAATGAAGGATCCTTGAAGATCTTAACAAGAATTTTGAAGATCCTCATGAAGATCCTCAAGAGGATCCTCAAAGGTCCTCATGAAGATCTTGTGAGATCCTTAAAGATCCTTGAAAGATTTTCACCAGGGCTGACACACTGTATGTGTTAGAGCCTCTGAGGCCAGTCACTGCATAGCATGTTTAGTTACATCAGACAAAATTTTTAAGATGTATTTTGACCTTGTTTGACTAAAATCTCAGTCTTGAGTATACAGTTAAATGAAATCTCACAAAAAATTGAATCAATTTTCACAATGTCTGTTCAAAGGGTCGGTATCTCTAGCTAATTATAAATCCATCATAAATCCATGATATTAATTTCAGTGTGACAATTCTCTTTGTTTTCTGAGGATCAGGCCATTTTACGTACGAAACTTTCAGGGTTTCTAATGTTACCCGAAGTCGTATAGTTATTGTATGTAGTACAGAATAAATTTTGTAACGCTAAATTTCAACAAGTAGCTGAATCTTGTTTTGAACGATGCGTTATGTAAGCGGCGCATCTGAACAAGTCACAAGACGAAGATTTGTTTGTCACATGACCAACATATCAGTTTGCTTGTTTGAACATTTACTTGCCTGTTCAGCCTTGCAAAATCAAACAAAGGCAAGGTTTGGGAAAAAGTTTAAGGCTTTCATACCCCTAACCTTTATTAAAATTTAGCGGGAAATAGAAATTGTGAGACGTAATTCTTAATCACGACGAGACCAAAGTTAGGAGAGTGTAAACAGAAACCGTCACAGAGAAATATTTCACAACTTAAGAAATTAGGAGGTAGAAAAACCAACCTTTGGAGGAGGAACAGGTTTAACTGGCGGCTTATTTCCAGGCACGGTTAAATTCCAAAATTCCCCAAGATCTCTGGCATGAGCGCACGAAGGACCTAACAGACTTCCACAAAGTTCAATGGGATCGAGAAACGCTTTGTCGGCGACTGTCAATATTTCGTTTCGAAACTCTGAGATAACATCGGTACAAACTCGTGAATCCTCTATCTTCAGTTCCTTACATAACAAACGTCCTTCATATACCACGTCTGCCTCGATTTTGTTTGTTAAGAGCGCAATTTGAGCGACAAACGCCAATAGTTTACAAACTGAACAAAGACCAGTTGACAATATTCTGTTTCGTACGTCGCTTTCTAAACGCATCACCCAAGATGTGAAACCATTTTCTTCATGAGCCGGTTTTGAAAACGAATTCAACACGAAACAAATAAGAAGAATAAAAACTAGACATGATTTCGACGCCATCACCGTCCGAGAAAGCGAAAGAAAAATGATAATACTCCTTCCCTATGTACAATTGAAATGATATGACGTTTATAACGTGGGAGTGGCGGAGGTGCGGTGATCGTATGATTGAGCACGTGACTCTTGCAATTATGCGCCCGCACTAAGGTACTCTCTGCGCATTGCTCCATAAGGAAGCTGCAACAAATTACTTAATGAAATTAATGCTTCCTCTTGGGAAACAACAAATTAATGTTTCGAAAATATCGCTCTCTTTACTTTGAAAGTGAAAAAGTGCAAGAAAAAAGTGGCAGAAAATCCTGTGGAAAGAATTTCCAAGTTCCGCTTTGATGAATTTCAAATATCTAGCTTTGTTTCAGCTGAAATATGGCGTTTGTGACCTGGTGTCTGTTGTTATTCCCCGTGCCTTCCTTCATAACCCTGTCTAGCAGGGAAAGGTGCGGCTTCGGAGGACTGGGACTCGGAATTGATTCCGATGCAAAGTTTCTCTATCAAATCAGTCATGGTGATGTTGAGAGTGCGGGCAATTCTTGGAAACGATTTCAAAACGATACCGGGGACAGAAAGCATTTTCAAATTTAAGATGATTGGCGTAAACGAGGCTTATTTCGTTTAATCAGATGCACCACGTTAACGACCTCATTAGCGAATGATAAATAAGCTGCCTCTACCTGATTCCTTATTAGGCATACAGCACCTGTCAAAGGGTAAAATAAGATATCCCTTACCAATTTTTTTATTTTTACAGAAAACAAACAATTTTGAAAGCCGCATCTTCCACGACGCAGGAAAACAGCAGTCATGAACGCATCCCTTCATTTTTAATACTGAAGCTATAAATACAACAAGATCATGATGAATTTTAAGAATATCGTTGGAATTGCTATAATACTGCATGCAGCAGGGATATTTTGCTCAAACAAGCAACTAGGTAAGTAAGTTGCTTTATTCAGATACCTGCTTATACCTCAGCTTATGCGTATTGCTTCACGTGAGATCAGTAAAGAAACGGAATGTTCCTGTCGACAGGTACCCGTCATTGATAAACGCATGCATATTTTTTGTTTAAAACAAGGTCTACTTTAGCAAATGCCTGTCAACAGAATGTCGTTTCTGTAAGTTTTGATCGTTTCCTCGATGCTAGAACGCGAATAACTAAGTGTCATTAGGCTTAAAATCCTTCTTAAATTTGACGGACCGGCAAGATAAATTGGGATCCATAGTCGTGTTAGAAGGCGCATATCCGAAACATTTTTAATTCCAACAGGTCGAACGTTCTTCAACAGCTGGTAAAATGATTTTACTATTATCCCAACAAAAACATGAGGTATATAAAAGAACCGCTACATTGGGGCATAAGTGCGGACGGTTGAGTTTATTGACAAAATGTAGAAACGCAACACGTGCTAATTCTCAGGTCTTCGAAAGTAAGGTGTCGAACTAGAGGGAAAACAGCAACAAGAAGCAATAATGTGCTTCCGAAAGAAACAAGTTTCTTTAATATGGCCCTTCCATTTGATTAGACGTTCATGGACATAAATTGAGTCATTTTAACAAAATATAAAAGGAATCTTCGTTCGACTTAACTGAAATCGGTAAGAAATAAAGTAGCTTCTCCAGCCGTATGAGCACGCTGTCAATACGACCAGCCCTTTATCTTTTAAATCTGGGTTTCTCAAGAGCGTTGCATCTATCTGCGATGCTCACTTATTACCCCCACGTTCTCCAAATACTGATCACGGTTTTCTTCGAATAATTCCAAAAGGTTGTCCGAAAAACTGGAAAAGATTCGAGAAGTCGTGTTACCTATCACCAAAGTTATCCCTCAACTGGCGCGCTGCTGTTTTCAACTGCAGTGAATATAATGCTCACCTGGTCACAGTCTCCAATGCAAGAGAAAACTCTTTCCTGATTCGAGAATTCGTCATTACACAACAGCACAGCAGGCATTTTTGGCTCGGCTTACACAGAGCACCTTCCGATCCTTCGAAGTGGTTGTGGGTCGACGCATCCCCTGTGACATTCCGGGACTGGTACTCAGGGCAGCCTGACAATTATCGCCAAGAAGAGTTTTGTGGAGAGATGTATGTTCTTGAAGTTCGCAACGGTGTGGTGAAATGGAATGACTTAAACTGTTCCCGGAGTTCAACTTTTATTTGTGAGAAAGGTGAAGATGTAAACTTCTCTATTTAAGTAATAGCCCATCTCTATGATAGCAGTCGACAGTCGTTTAACTAAAATGAGTTTTAATCTCTTGCTTCGTTGAATGCCTACAAGAAAGCTTACTCGGTCGGTTATCCAACCTTATTATATACTCAACAAAATATCGCGTTTCTGATTGGTCAATGATGAATGCATAAATAGGTTATAGAGTGCAATACGGAGAAGTTGCCATGGAAACACCGGGGAAGCGCCAAATTTGAACACCAAATTTTAAAAAAATGGCTGACAAGATTTGTTTATTCTTGCACTTTTCATGGAGCCAGTCACGCATGTCAAAGGCCGAGTTCACATGCAAGACTCTCGCCTTAGACATAACCAAATAAATGAATACTTAACAAAACAATATCTTGATAACCTTCCAAAGTAAAAGGAAAATGTTATTTCCAAGGAGGGTCAACTCCTTTCCTTTTTTTTTTTTCGCAACAGAACTACTCGCTTTGCCTTCGTGTACAGAGGACAACGGTGGCTGTCAACATTTTTGTTCCTCATCGAATGATCGTATAGTTTGTACGTGTAAAGATGGATTCATCTCTGAAAAGAATGGAGTGGTATGTGTTGGTGAGTGCTCATGTAGATAGCCTCGATCCGTCACTATCTAAAGTTCTTAGTAAGCCATATCTATAAAGAAGAGTTGGCTCTAATGAAATTGTCATTTGTCTTGCTATACGCAATATTTTAGATGATTATACACCCCTTTCCGTATTAAGATCTTCTGTGTAAAAGAGTTCAGAAAGCACACTGTAGGTCTCAGGGATGTCGGCCTCTAGAACGTTAAATTTTAAAACAATTTGCACTCCGCGATAAGAACGTTCAGTCTTCTCAGAGCCCTGGAGAGAGAGAGAGAGAGAGAGAGAGAGAGAGAGAGAGAGAGAGAGAGAGAGAGTAGAAACGAACAGCGACGTGCATGACCCCGCACGTAGGCGACGCGAGAGTCAAGAAGAGCGTGTTTATGACAACAGAGGGTAAAGGAATATCGCAACTTTCCTCTAGAAACGTTTACTTTTTTTTCCAAAAATTTCCTGCAGATCCTAAGATTTATTGGTCACAAGAAATTCAACACAAAGCCAACAGCTCGTTTAATGTGGCTCTACTGGTCATGCAGCTGGTATCACTTATTCTTCTCCTTCCAATGGCGCTGGTTCTAGTGTCGTTCTACAGAATAGTTTCAAAGCAAAGAAGACGAGCAAACACCCAATTTCATTCCGCAGTGGTAAATTCATCACTGTCTCAAGATGAAAGCTTCAGAAACCAGAATACCCGGCTTACTAACGCAACATATGAAAACAGTGGCATCGGTGATAATGTTTAGTTAGTTGAAAGATTAACACATCTTGAATGATAATGAATCTTAATGATATGTTTGTATGGTTATCCAAAGCTATAAGTCACCTCATACGATATTTAGGGAATATTTTAGGTGTATGATGTAGTTCAATTCTTTCGAGTTTCAATTCATGTGGGAAATAAAATGGGAAGACTACTCGTTTTTTTTTCTTTTTCCATCGCCAAAATTTTGACTACCACCCGTTTTCGATGCTCAGGGGATCATTCACAGTTCATCTGATTTTGTCGATTTTACGACCATTTGCATACTATACATTACGATATAATAGAAACGCGATCGATTCACTCACCACTTCCTCCAAAGCTGCCGAGCTCCACACCGTGTTGTAGTCCAAGCTGATCCCATATTTTTGCCCCACAGACCTCTCTCACGAATGTCTTCGCCTTACGCGTCCAACCATTCCCGAAGATTAGAGATTTCTAGCTCATTATCTGCTGAACGAAAAATAAACGCACTTGCTGGTTGCACAAGGCGTTTTCCTCTCGTGTTGGGCCATCACCTCAGAGGTAGCGCACTTTAACCTGATATAAAATCATCGCATCGGTAGCGAGACTTAATTCAAACGTACTTCATTCGCACAAAACACATTAAATGCTTATTTTAAAGGAGCTCTGTCCTTTTCAGTTTATTTTTCTCATTCGGTGGATTTACCTTTCTACATATGTGAGGCAATTTTGCATGTCACAAAGTATCATAGACACTTCTTTATAAGCGAACGCGAACTACGTTCTGTGCCTTTGCACTACACCTGACTTTCAATATCGCAAAGTTTCTGTCCTTCCTCTTCACCGGTGTTGACTTTTTTCGACCCTGCCTTTGATTTCTTGGGTCCAGGCTTCTTGCAGCAATAAATCTTGTAGTCCTCAGGCCAGGCCTCCGCCTGTTCCACGGTTTGGGGCATGGGGCTGAAAAGCGTCTCTGGCAGCCATAGACCCACTATGCCAGCGGTTACTCCAAGTATTCCGAAGATGACCAGCGGAAGCGTTTTATTAAGATTGGGGAGGTCCGCCTTGAGGAAGAAGTGATATAATTTTAGCAATTAAAACCCCGAAAATTGGGATTGCTATCCTTGTTGTTAAAAGGCTACGGATGATAGATATCTTACCAGTAGAACTATGTAAGGTGCCAATATTGCTCCAATACGGGCCATCATGGAGGAAACACCCACCGCTGTGTTCCTAAAGATATAGATTTGACAAATAGAAAACTGAAAGAATAATCAATTGGTGCAAATGCGTATCGCAAAGAAAAATACTTGTAGGGACGAAATTTCAGTTTTCACAAATAGCTTATTTCATTTGTTGCAATTAGATTTCATTTGTCGCATGAAAAGGTTAGGTGTTGTATTCACTTGTCACGTACCTGATAACTGTCGGGAAAAGCTCGGCAGTGAAAACATAGATGGTCAGAAAAGTGGATAAGATACAGAACTTGCCGATCATGGCCAGAGTTGTGATCACTGCTTGATATTCTGAGAATAACACGACTAGGAGTTAAGTTTTGATAGTCATAAACTGTCTGACTGACTAGCTGTTTGACAAGCTGACTGACTGGCTGTCCGAGTGATTAACTGACTGACTTTCTGGCTGATTGATTGTCTGAATGATTAACTGACTGTCTGATTGACGGACGGACTGACTGTCTGACTGACGTACTGACTGACTGACTAACTGAACGAGTATTGACTGACTGGCTGACTGACTGTCTGGCTGACTGACCAACTGACTGTCTGACTGACAGAATGTTTGTCTAACTGACTGACTATCTGACTTTCTGCTCGATTAACTGATTTTCTGAATGATTGACTGACTGACTGTCTGACCGACTGTGTGGCTGATTGACCGACTGACTGGCTGAATAAGTGTCATGACTGTCTAAATTTCTCACTGACTGACTGATTGTCTGAATGATTGACTGACTGACTGACTGACTTACTGTCTGACTGACTGCGACTGACAGACTGACCGAATGACTGACTGTCTGGCTGACTGACTGATTAATTGCCTGACTGACTGTCTGACTAACTGAATGACTGTCTTACAGTCTAATTGACTGAATGATTAACTGATTGACGGACTGAATGAGTGTCTGACTGACTGTGTGACGGACTGTGTAGCTGACTGACTGACTGAGTGTCTGACTCATTGACTGAATGACCAAGTGTCTGCCTGACTACCTTTTTCCGCTCGACTGACAGTCTGTCTGTCTAATTGACTGACAGACCGATTGACGAACGAACGATGGAACGAACGAACGGAAAGATGGATGAATAAAGGGGTAAGTTTCTAAAGAAACTGTGGTGCTGCGTCGGTGGGAGAGTATAGCAGGTAATTTAGTGTTAACAACTAGGTTGAAAAAGTAAATTGGCCACCGTAAAGGGTAAAAAAGCTGACGTTTCGAGCGTTAGCCCTTCGTCAGAGCGATAGATGGATAGACTAATAAACGAGAATGACTGTCTAACTGGCTGACTGATTCAACTAATTTTTTGCTAAGGAAACTCATACTGACACTGCGGGCAGTGAAGTGAAGAAGATTAATTTAGTGGTTTTTAGATCAATATTCTCGTCTACAGGAAACTCAACAACCTACAATTCACCCCTCTTACCAGCTTTACTTGGAACAGCTAACACCAGCATGCCGGCAACTCCACCAATTAGCATGAAGGCACAATACGGAATGCGGCGACCAAACCTATCAAAACATTGAGTTATATAACACAACTGAACCATCTCTAAACGCTTCAAGGACTTTTCTTTTTTGGGCACGTCGATAATTGCCACCAAGGCACACATTAACGATAGAGTCAGTTTGTTTCCGGATCGTCTTTTCCCATTACTACTGATCGGAAAGCTTTCCTGAACAGTTTGTTGACCCTTGTCCGAAAGAAAGATCTGAGAAGTGTATTAAGGTTTAGTTGATTATTCTTAAAAACGGCAAGAAAAACCAAAATATATTGTTCTAGGACATCATTGCACCTTATTATTTTCAAAACATTTTATTTTGCAACCTCTAGAGTCCTTTTCTTTTATCAAATGTTCTTACCTCTGAAGACAAAACCAGGCCAACAATGCACTGGGTAACTCGATGATAATCAATATGAAAAAGTTCAGGTACATGTCTCCTGCGAGATTCTTCACATTCAAACTCAGTCCAAAGTACACCAGAGCGTTAACAAACCTAAACGTCAAAACAAAACACAGAATGAATTGATTTAAGCGTATAAACACACCAAACAACCGAAACACACCTAAAAGAATCGACAAAACAAATTATCTTTCTATCGTCTTTTCTCACCAATTGAAACAGCAGATGATAATTCTCTTTCTCAGTTTTGGTGTCCTAACCAAATCGAAAGTCCCATATTTTCGGGTGTCATTTTTCCTGACATCAGCTTTCCTTACTTCCGAGATCATGTGCCTCAGCTGTTTAGGGTCAACGGGGACGCCATTTTTGGTAGCGTACTTCATGAGCAGGCCATGAGCCTCATCCAGACGATTGTGAGCAACAAGCCAGCGCGGAGATTCAGGAATCCACCTTTTTCGCATTAAGACAAAGTGATACGGTTTTAGTTGGCTTACAAAATGACAGTTAAAGTTCACAACTTGATTGATTTCCTATGTTCACTTTGAAGGAATAAGAGACTTACCACCAGAAAAGGAGCAATAGGACCCCTGGTACCGACACTGCTAGCATCAGATGTCTCCAGTCTCTCATGAGGTATGCCAGTAAAGCTAAAATGGCGTAACCCACAGTCATGAAGATGTTGCTGACAAACCCTGCAGCAGTCCTATTTGACGTAACTGACAGCTCCATGCAGTAAACGAAGCGGGAGAGTAGACAACCAGCGGCAGCGGCTCCCGCACCGACTCGGAACAAGGCGAAAAGAGAGAGGCAGTCTGCAACTGCAGAGACGGTGCCACATACGGCCTGAAATTGGGATAAGCGTAAATTATTTCCTTTTTTTTTATGATAGATGGTGAAACGAGTAACCACGTAGTCATTGCGCGATGCACTCACCAGGATGGCGATACTGAGGAAAACAGCGACCCTTCGTCCCAAATGATCAGATATGCTGCTAAAAGCATAGGAGCCAACGAGAAGTCCTGCCAAGTATGCTGCTTGAGTCAACGCTTTGAGATGATTTTTATCACAAATCAACCCCCACTGAAAAAAAAAAAAACAAAAAATAAATAAATAAATAAAAGCGATCTTTTTTCAAAAGCAAGTCTTTCTTTTGTCGTGTCTCATTTTCAGTAGGACGGACTTGCAATATGATATCAAGACATTATTCAGCAAACAGAATAGACACATCAGGAGCCTATGGGCTCCTGACATATCCATCGGTCTGAAGGCGAAAATCCAAATTCTTTAATATAATTTCAGAGGAAAGGTGCGGCTAGAATGGGAAATTAGGTAATAATAACAATAACAGTTCTTCAGAGAAATTCCACAAGTCTAAATGCGTTTGCAAATTAAGCAATAATTGGACATGAACATTGTAAATAGACTAAAACATAGCGTTTAAAAGCCCCAACTGGCAGGAGCCAGGAGGAAGACCAGTTGGTTAAATACAAAAGTGCAAGCCAAGGAGTTGAATTCTTAATTCAGAGCAATCGAGAACAAATCCAGAGAGTAGCAGGGCGGAGGGCTTGAATATGGGACGACAAGCTACAAGACCAGCGGGCTTACCCCACTGCCTAAAAAATTTGACCATGGAGACCATGGAGGTCAAACGCTTAATTATTCTTGGGATTTCTGACTGTCTGTATATCATCTATGCGTCTTTTATTGTTTCGTGCACTCAGACTTGCAAACGTTAATGCTAGATACATACACTCACATAGATACACATAGATACACTCAACACTTTACAACGGTACTCCAAAAAAGGTGTTTAGTGGGGAAAAGTCGTGTGAAATGAATATAACCAATTATTTTATCAAAAGTGGCTTTTTCAAAACATTGCTGTTATAGAGGGTGTGTCTGTGTGTGTGTGTGTGTTAATTAAAACCGATATTATATAGGTAAATATTGGATAACACCCAGTTAGAGTCTATGAGGGAATATCAAATCACGGGGTAAAAATCTAGCTTCCTTTACTGTTACAAGGTGTTATAAATATTTCTTTAGCATACAATCTCACCAAAAGACTATATTTTCAAGGGTAGTAATTGTTATAATCTTCTTTAAACTCAAACTAACCTCAGAGACGGCACTTGTGTATTTACCCTTGAATTCATATTCGGTGCAATTAGCACAACATTTGTCGATCTCGCAATTAGAACTGTTCATCGTAGTGCTCGAGGCGACACACTGGAAAGGCGGAGACGCGCCATAAAATACAAGCACTAGTTGTTGAAGGCCGATAGGTACCGTCATCAAGCACATAAAGGCGTACAACAGCATCGGATAACGACCGAATCCGCCGACCAGACGAAGCAAATCGTCAAATTCGTAATTCTCCTTTGACGATGAATTTGCATCGGCTTGGAAGTCATTCGTATCGCAACTCGTGTCAAGGCTGCTGCTATTCTTTTTGTCACCAGTCGTTTCCATTGTATTACGAATCACAGAGGGCTTACTCACATCGACATGTAACGAGTTTCAGGAAAATTGCCAAAGAAAGAGACAACTCTGAAAACTGAAGATTTGGATGTCACGTCAGACAGTCTTATATTAGTGACAAGTGTAACCTAAAACTGAACGTGCCAGAGAGTTGAATCAAGAAACTATACTTATGTCAGCATAGCAAACATTACATGTCATCGTAAAATTAACAAAGAAAATTAAAATGTGGTACACTGTTGATTTTGCCTCTGCAGTTGAATCTATCAGTCACGCAATGCAAATTAAAATCAGACTTTCCTATGATGTCACGCGACATGGTATAGTGTCAGGGTTATCAAGAGCAAGCATGGTTAAACGCAACTCACAACTTCCTTAAAGTGCTAGCCTGTTCAGACGTTCAATCAGTGAAACGAAGCGCGAGAGTAGCGGAGGAGTGACAAAAAAAAAAAAACAACAACAAAAAACCGCGAGGATTGGGTCGAGTCGTGCAATGAATAACTTTTCATGGAATGACTTGAATTGTATAATTTATGCGTGTAGAGCATAAAACACGCTGTTCAACACGTTTTCATGGCTTTTATAAAGGCACAGCCATTTTAATTTTTCACCTTTGTTTAATAATGCGTTATCCTGAATATGGCATGAAGAAATAAACTGCCAGCCGTTTCCATAAGTCATAATAATTTTAACATGGTACCGAAACGGGCTATAAGACAATGGTTCGTAATGCGTGTAAGAGTTTTGTATTGACTGCTGTTCAAAGGTTCAAAGGCTATTCTTTCACGCATTACTGGAAAAACGAAGATTATTGAAAGGAAAGACACATTGGAAACGTTTAATCTAAGAACTAATTTGCAGAAAAGTTTCTGAGTTAGATCTTACACTGTTTTATTTTATACATCATTCACTGCAATAAAAGTTTTGAAAATTATTTCTTATCTGGTAGAAGATAACATTCCTTTGGAATTTCCTTTATCTTTGTTCCTTTTTGGAAGAGATTTTTCAGCGAGTGAATACAATGCCCCGGATAAGTTCTGTCTACCTTCGCCGGAAACTAAAGCGCTGTTTCGGACCTTAAGAAATGAATTAAATCAATTTAAATATATGTTAATGAGGTCATTTGGTGGTTTGAAGGTGTCAGGGTCAGAATCAAAGGTTTTAAAAGGTGATTTTCATAAAAAAAACTTCGTGATAATAAGCCCAATTTATTGACGCTTCATATTCAAATATCGTAAGTGGTTTCACATTCAAGAGGAACTGATAAAAATTAACTTGGGGCTTTCCGTGTTATTTCGTTCAAGGCTGGTACTAAAATAAACCACCAAAAACAAAATGATAGTTTTTATAAACAACACAACGATGTCTGAAGAAGAAGAGGCCTGTTTGATACCAAATTAGCAAAATACTGTCCAGCCGCTTCTCATTTTTGTCTTTCACCTCTTTGTGCACAGATGAAGACAATAAAGGCGTAACCATCACCAAGTTGATAATACGAAATCGTTTCTCAACATACCAGTTATTTTATAAAAACTATTTTATAACAGTGAAATCCAAGGCATGAGCAGTGCTTACAGACTGGTGACGTGACCATAACATGATCGACATGAATTTTTCAGTTGTCGTTTTGTAAATCTTGTATTACACTTAACATCAAGGATCTCTCTACGAAAGAGCACAGCCCCCCAAACTGGCACATTAATGAAAGACAAGGGTAAGAAGCTTTTTGCTCATTTAAGTAAAGAATTTAAAATGATTTAGCTTGGCTGATTACAGAGTTCGAATATGAAGGTAGAATAGTCCTCCTCGACTGTAATTTTAACGAGTTATATTCATCAAAGCTATTGTGCTATTGAGGTTCAACATCCTCAAGATCCTCGCTTCTTTTGTTTCGTCTCCACGCATAAATTTTAATAAGATCAGCGATCAAGAAAGAAGCAAAAGTCAATCGGCTGAATATTCTACAAATCCCTATTAAACTGTGGGTTTTCTTTTCTTAACAAGGAAACAGGAAAATTATCATAAATATGGCAATAAAAACACTGCTTTGACTTTTTGACAACGGATGACCTTGAACCCTTTGACAAGTTTACGTTATCAGGCCAAAGACAAAAAATAAAGAAAAAAAAGGAAAATAGAAACATCCTCTGTTGAACAGTTCATTGTTAGTCTTATAGAGCTTGTTTTATACTCGTGTGTAGAGTTTTCCCATTATAAAGCGTATTTGATAGGATAAGAAATGAGATGACCCTAACGATGTCTAACTGCCATTGTAGTCTGTTTTCATTCTACCCATGGGCGGTTATTCAGGTCGACCAGCCGTGTTTAGACTTTAAAAAGCCGGACTCCTATTCTGAGCTACTCCGAAGCCTCAGATACCCAAAGGATATGACGAGGATAATTGAATACATTTTCTCCGATCTGTTTCAGTTGGTGTTTGACACAGAATTGATCCGTAAGCTCTCTACTGTTATTGACTCTGAAAAATTAAGGATTTTTAAGTCTATTCAACCTGGATCAGTTTTGAAATGATTATTTTGCATGAAATTCAATGCATGAAAGGTTCTATCTTAGACACAATTTCTTTTTTAACTGTATCTTGGGATTTAACCCTGTGACCTATAAAGTCAATGATAGAACTGAGAAATGTTGTCTGAACTCTTGCGTCTGTGGAGGAAATCCTACAGTACTTAAATGTGGTACCTTTTATCATTTTCTTTTTTTACAAAGTGAATTTTTGGATTTTTCTGGTAGCTGATAGTGAAAGGATGAAGTTAATTTTCACTGGTGACATAATTCTGTGAGGATTCGAGATAATTACCTGTTTTAACCTTGACGTTTATAAGATTGTATCGTTTTTCTCCTAACTGAGAACCTGTGTGTTAATGTCAAAAAAGATATCTACATTAACACAAACAAACAAAAACCTATCAGCGTTTTATGCTGTAATGATGATTTACTTTAAGTTTACCGATATAGAAAGATGACAAAAATTAGCCATCGCAAACCTTGAGTCTGCCGGGAAGTGATCATACTTATTTAAAAATAGAAATAAAGTTGACTCCAAAGCTCAGCCACGAAAGACCTATAGGTCAGTCAGGGTCTTTCTACTTGAAGCAAGTTGGTTTCTTGAATTCAAAGGGAAATCTTAACAGGTGGAACAACCTGAGGTGTTATATTCCACAAGTAAGGAGACAAGTTTGATGTACTACAAAGTGACGCAATTGGCACACTGTAAGAAGTGTTGTGTATAAAAATATTAAAGAATCCTAAACAGCTGTTGAGTAATTGATGGTGATTGATACGTTTGGCAAAGTACAAAAAAAAACAAAGTTTGGAGTTAGATTTTTACCTTGAATGAAAAACTTTGACACCTTTCCATCGAGAATAAAGAATGCCATGTCTTTTTACCTCGTGTTTTGTTGCTATGCTAAGATTGATAATTATCTTAATGGGCGGCATGTAGTGGCAAGAGGACTCACCTTGCCGCATGGAGGGCGTGAGTACGGTTTGAGTCAGGACCGAGACATAACTTTCAAAAGAAAGAAATAATAAGAAGAGACGTGTTTGAAATGGTTTAGAGGAGAGGATTTTCGATTTATAGAAGTCACATTTGAAACACAGCGATATTAAAAGGTTATCATTAACGCTTCGTTCATTGGTCGTCTCGATCCAAAGACATAAACTTTAGACACAACATGTGTCCCTGTGTTTAGCTTGTATTTTCTGAGCTAAAGAGATAGAATGGAAAAATCGTAAGATGTTCATTAATACGTTTTTTTTTTTGCAGGGTTGAGATGATTATTTTATTACTGCTACGAAGCACGCTGTTGCTTCTCGTAGCAAACTATTCTTTTGCCCAAGAATGGTACAGCCAAGACAATTATGGACCCATGTATTACGAGCCAAACACAGTGGAGGAATTAAAACCTTCATTTGTGGAAAAGCGGCAGGCAGAGAGCTTAGCCACTGAATCAAAGTCTTTTTATTTGTCGGAGCACTCCGCGTCTAACGTCCGTGAAAAACGAGACATAGGTGACGTGGACGCTAAAAAAAACAGTAGTGACGTCACGGAGTATACCACAAATGAAGGTGTTAATCACGTGGCTGACATGCCCGAGGAAAATGACCAATCATTTAACCCAGATAGCTCTCTAGAAGCGACCTCGCACAGTCCGACCAATGACAGCTATGAATATATGCAAAGTCCGACCAACAGCAGCTCTGAGTACGTGGAAAGTACTAACAACAGCAGCAATGAGTACATGGAAAGTCCTAACAACAGCAGCACTGAGTATGTGGAAAGTCCTAACATCAATGGCTACGAAAACGCACAAGACGTTGCCAGTGATAGCTACGAATTCACACAAAGTGTTGCAAATAATAGCGTTGAATATGCTGCCGAAGATAGCCACGACAAAGCTCAAACCGTTGCCAATGATAGCTACGAATTCACTCAACGCATTGCAAATAATAGCGTCCAGTTCGCACCAAATGTTGGCAAAGACAGCTACGAAAACGCACAAAACGTTTCCAACAGTAGCTACAGTATAACTGATTCCAACCAAGTGAATGAAATGCCGAATGAAACAATGAAAACCGGACCTGAAGGGACTGAAATGTCTCCATTAACACCCGACGTCATGCACAAAGGCTCGGCCGAGGGCAGCGCGAACGACGGTCGTATGGACGTGACAGAGGAACCAAAGGATGATGGCGCAGGAGACCTAGAAACCAAACCTGTCGATACAGCCCCTAGCCATGAGACCTCTGGAACACCTGACTTCATGGAGGAGGTCGACGAAAGCTCTGGCTCTGGAAATTCAAATGATCGAGAAAATGATGATGAGGAGAACAAAGCGAAAAATGGAAATAAAGACGATAGGAATAGGAATAGGAATAAAAGTGATGATAGTGCTAACGCCAGGAAAGAAACTAACGGAAGGAAAATGACGCCCACATCGGCAAGCCGGGGTGAAGATAGCAGTGGAAATTTCAATAACAGAGAAGTCGATGATTTGTTTACAGACTACGACGAGGATGAGTATGAGGATGAACAACCGGTGAAGAGGCAAAATTTGGGTACGAAAATTATTAGATGAGTAAACTGTATCATTTTATACTTAACTTCCATTGAATTAGAGGATATATGAAAAGCAAACATCTGAACCACGGAAAAAGAGAGAGGTCTTTGAGGTTAGAAATCACAATTGACAAGCTAAAATAGAGCCTAAACTTAGCTCAGTTAGTTTCAGTCAGTCAGTTAGTTTCTGTGCTACACCAGTATCGCAGAATAGTCCTTGGTTCGGATCCCATTCGAGCCTGACTTTTCCCAGGCTTAATTTTTACCACCATCAGCTTTGCGATGATCTGCATTTAATTGGTCAGAAGAACACTATGTGAATAAGAAGTGGCTAACTCTAAAGCTTCCTTCGTTTCAATTTGTAGCCTGGGGTGCTCCAAGACAGCAATATGCGTATTCCTCAATGCCATGTTGTCCATCAAACATGGTTTGTCCAGGTTAGTTATAAAATAAACCAGTTTACATTGCATTAATTTTTCATATTCCCCACCTCAACTCACTCTATTCACATTTCGCAATAGAAACATACTTTGCCTCGTACACATATCATCATCCAGTTATCGTATGCCACGAGAAGATGAGTTAAGAATCTCGTCACATATTCTAATCAAATACTATATTTCCGTCTTCCTTTTTCAGATAAACCACCGTGTGTCCCTGACACTGGTGGTTATAAGGGTTTCCAAGGTTACATTAACTATCCAGGGTACCCACCTAATTACCAGTCCCAAGCTGTACCGAGCTTTCAGCCTCAAGTGGCTCCAACTTCGCCGCATTACGCGAATCCCGGACCTGCTGCCAAGAATAGCAAGGCAAACCCAGTCAAGGCACGTCCTACATCAGAAAAAGCTTCCACTAGAAAAGTCTCTTCTTGGGACCAACTGGGATCTGACAGGAATGCTTCACCACAAACGAAGGGTTTTATTTCAGACGCAGATGACTACCATGAATTCAACGGGACGGAACAGAGCTTTGCCGGGTACGATTTTAAACAGAACGAAGACAAATTCTACAACAGCACTGGAAAACATGATGACGAAAATAAAGAGTTTTTAGAAAAAAATGACTCGAATCCGCTGACAACGCAGTTGATATTAGAGAACGAAAATGACCATGTTCGAGAGAATAATTCTATTACACCAACTAAAGAGAACGATAAGGAAAATGTGAAACAACAGAAGTCCTCCGAAGAGCCAAATTACAAGGATGAAATCGAGAAAGAAGCCGTGGAACAAGAGAAAGAAGCTGATCGGATGGCTGAAAATGAAGAACATAAAGACGACGAGGACGACGACGACGACGATGATGATGATGATGACGACGACAACGAAGACGAAGACGATGAAGATGATGATGAACGAAATAACAACGATGATGACCATCAGGGACAACACGCACCTGATAACAAAGGACAAAAGGATGACATATACAATCCTACAAATCAATCATTTGCAGTCTCTCCAACAGTGCTTCCAGGAATGTGTCCACCTTGTCGTAAGTAATACCAAAGTGTTAATGTCATGGAATGTATAATCACGACATCTCTACTGCTGTCATATCATAGATAAACAAGATAGGATTAGTGGGAAAATCATTTAGTAGTCGGATCACACTGTAATATTAAATCAAATTAAATTAAACTGTCTACACGTGAGATTATATTAAAATGACTAATTCTTTTTTTTTTGTTTCCATTTTGCAGCAAAGCCAACAAAAGCGCAAGGTAAAGAAATCCAAAATATTAACACAACATCTGTCATGTATTTATATTTACGAAATATTCCTTCAAGAAATCGCTAAGTGCTATTTTAGTCATAAACATTTGTGACATATAACTCATAGTCAGCAATAGTGTTTTCTTAAGGAAGACTTAGCAGTTAAAACACCAGGTCAATCTGTGCATATCGTTCAATTTTGTACTGATCCACTGCGTGATCGATGTTTTCGCTCAATACAAATTCACTCTTACCTTGGCCTTACAATGGAGAAGGGTTCTATTTAGATCATTGAAATCACTCCCAGCTTTGGGTTGACACTTTACTTCTCATAATTAAATAAAGACAATTCAGTTTACACACACTTATGTTACGACATCGCTTAATCTAACCAGCGTTATGTTGCATTAACATCCTCTCAGCTTGTAGCGCCAAAATAGATCTGGCTTTCCTAATCGATGGTTCTTCAAGCGTTGAAAGATACGGTGTCGGAAACTTCCGAAAACTAATCGAATTTGTCCGAGGACTGACGATGGGATTCGCCATTTCCAAAAGAAATACCCGAGTGTCCTTAACTGTGTATGGAACAAGACCGAAGATGATATTTAATTTCCGAAGGTTGGTTGTCTCATGAAAAAGTACTGTTATCATCTGTAGGAAATAGTTTAAAACTAGTGTAGGAAATACTTTAAAGCTAGTGTGAAATATATCCTTAAATCAATGATGTATTCGCTGTTGTAACTGTGATCAAGCTGCTCTTCAGTATAAGATGGGAAATCTGAACTCACTGGTCGCGATATCCAAATTAAATGACTTTTTTTGAAATATTCGTTGATGTTCAGTTCAATCACTCCACGGAAAACTGAAACGTTTAGAATGATTGTTTCGAACGAAAGTGGTATGACAGATTCCCCTTACAATGGAAATAGTGATCATCTTTGACCTCCTTGTTAAAGTTAACATATCTGGTTTCCCATCTTTGAATTTCGAAGGGTGGATAATACTTATCCATCAGACAGCAGTGGAAGTTATCTGATGCCTGCTCTGGCTCTCGTATTTCCAAAAAATTTTTTCTATGAAAAAATTAAAGTAAATTGACAGATGTAGAATTTGATCATTGACTTTCGGTAATTTCAGATATCAGAGTAACTCATTGTTATTCACGGCTCTCAACCGGCCAATCTACTATCCACGGACGGGAGCGAGAACAGGTCGGGCTCTCAGCTTTGCCAACAGAAGGCTTTTCACGAGAAGCCGACGTGTTCGAGCTCGTAAAGTACTGGTGGTTATTACTGATGGTGGCTCAATCGATGACGTACATGGAATCTCTAAGAGACTACGAGCCAACGGTATCACAATCTATTCAGTAGGAGTGGGAAGGTACTTCAACGCAAAGGAATTGGACTCGATGGCAACTGATCCTGACAAGACGCACGTTTTCACGTCGGATTTTAAGCAGATACAGTACATCACAAACGATCTTAAGAAAGCGATCTGTTTGAGTAAGTATTCAACGAGCTTAAGCACCAAACGAACTCACCGTGCGAGAAAAAATTGATTGGAGTCAAAGTCTCAACTCAGTCGATATTTTTTACATATTTGCTCACAGACGTACATCATCTAGCGGAGTGCAACATTGAGGTCATCTGTAGATCTATGAATGAAATGTTCAATCTGGATAACAATTATATTCATTGAATCACACTGCACAATACCTGTCGACTTTGTGCTTCCTTAGTAAAAAATATCTAGAAATAATTTTAAAACTAACCAATGTTCTATAAGGGTCCTATACCGTTAGATGTGTTGACCTATTATAAGCTTCCAAAAATTTGAGCTCCCGATTACCTCTCCTACTTTTCTCCAAAACACGTTCATCACACAAAGTCTTACGTGGACAGAAAAAAGCAAAAAACACGGATTTACTCATCGACAGCATGTACTTGCCCACGGCGGAGAAAGAGAAGAGGATGTTGTCCTTCAACCTCTTTCTGATTCTGTAATTTGAACATTATGTAACGTATCTAATCTGTCATATACCCTGTTTAATGGTTAACCTTTTGCTGTTTAGGTGCGGGTGGTACTCTGTCAGTTTCAAAGCTTCAGCCATGTGTTTGCGGACCAACTAAACCAGTAGGTCCTACAAAACCGGGTTAGTATGAAGATGTTAAGCTAAATGGTACCCTTCAAAATGTCAAATAGTAGTCTACAATTCTTCTAATATTTACACTTGTTAGTCCCTTGATATGCGATAGTGGATTCGTTTCAAAACCTACAGCTTTAAACCTGTAGAGGTTACTCATATCATGTGATCGATCTCTTGGATAGAATATATGACGCACAAACCTCAACTGTCCTTCTTTCTGGCGAAAGATAGTAGAGCGGAAAGCGTTCATTGGAAAGGATACTCTTGAGTAATAAATCCTATGCATCTGAAGATTGACTGATGGACTTCTAACAATTCGCATGTTGTTATTGCAGTACCTAAGACAACACCGAAAAGAGGCGGCCCAGGTAAACCTGGAAAACCAGGTGGTCCAGGTGGTCCTGGTGGTCCCGGGGGTCCTGGTGGGCCTGGAGGACCGGGTGGACCAGGCGGCCCAGGAGGTCCTGGAGGGCCCAAACCTGGTACAACCACAAAGCCAACGAAAAATCCTCCAGGTGAGGAATTCACAACCCATCTTTCTATTACACAGTTTGATCATAGCACCGCCTGATGCTATCTCATTCACGCTTTTAAAGGTAAACCAGGTGGACCTGGAGGACCTGGAGGACCCGGCGGACCCGGAGGACCTAGTGGCCCAGGTGGCCCTGGAGGTCCCGGAGGACCAGGTGGTCCTGGAGGTCCAGGTGGGCCCGGTGGACCTGGAGGACCAAAGACAACCCCAAGACCAGGGAAAACAACAAAGCCTCCAGGTAAGCCTGGAGGCCCTGGGGGACCTGGAGGTCCAGGAGGGCCTGGCGGCCCAGGAGGCCCAGGTGGTCCCGGTGGACCAGGCGGACCAACAACCAAGAAACCAGGTACGACTTGAGCTTACTATGGAAGCTTTGAAAAAAATAATTCAAGGATTAGGACAAATAGTGTCAGTGAATAATACATTTTCTATTGACATGCACCTAAGCTGCCAATTGATGTTAGTGCCAAATTATGATATATTATGATCGTTATAGTTTTGAGCGAGATGCTAATTTACCAACTGATGGTAAAGGAGACCGGCAACTTCGTTGTATCATAACAATTATTACAACTATTGTTTTATACCAAATTTTTCTTGACGATATCAATGTGAGTCGTTTAGATACGAAAATAAAATGGATATCGTAGTTACAAAAGAAGGAAGCACCATTGTAGCCGTTGCACAACATTTCTTCCATAAATATCGAATGTGTTCATGCGGTGAAGACGCCTATGTAAAATTACTTCCTAGGAAAGTCTACAAGACCAACAAAACCAACAAAGAGACCTGGTAAACCTGGAGGACCCGGAGGACCTGGAGGCCCTGGAGGGCCTGGAGGTCCTGGAGGTCCAGGAGGTCCTGGAGGCCCTGGAGGTCCCGGAGGGCCTGGTGGAAAGACAACGCCCGTCCCAGGAAAATCTACCAAACCTACTAAGCCAACAAAGAAGCCAGGGAAACCTGGAGGGCCTGGTGGACCTGGAGGTCCTGGAGGCCCAGGTGGACCAGGTGGGCCCGGAGGACCCGGAGGGCCAGGAGGACCCAAAACAAGCCGTCCGGGAACACCAACAAAGCCAACTAAACCAACAAAGAAACCAGGTACACCAGGAGGTCCGGGTGGCCCGAAAGGTCCTGGTGGTCCTGGAGGCCCTGGGGGACCTGGTGGCCCTGGAGGGCCTGGGGGTCCAGGAGGTCCTGGAGGACCTGGAGGGCCAGGTGGTCCAGGAGGACCAGGTGGACCTGGTGGTCCTACAACAGCATCTCCAAGAGCACCAACCAAGAAGACGACACCAACTCCTTATGCCCCAGGGAAACCCAATGGCCCTGGAGGACCAGGGGGACCTGGGGGACCCGGAGGACCCGGTGGCCCAGGAGGACCTGGAGGACCTGGTGGACCAGGAGGGCCGGGAGGTAATGTGTCAATGATATCGTCTTAATTGACTTATGAATAATATCTTAATCAATAAAATCATACTGTAACAGAGGTTTTGATCTTGATATTAATTGTTAAACGTTAATTTGCTACTTAAAGAGGGCGATAGTGTCCTGGGTTCACGCCCTCCACCTTGGTTATTAAACACTCGGTTGTCCGTATTTAATTACTTTTAACTCTCTGTACGTTCACAATGTTTGTTCCTAATTATTTTTTTTCTTATGTGTCACTTAAAATGTAACGTGCATTTGAATATATCTTCATGTTGATTTGCCCCATAGAAATATTGATTATTGCTATACGCCTGCGGTTTCCCTTGCTCGAAAGAAGATTGTGATTGGTTGATTGGTAATCACGTGAGCCTGGATTAATCAAAATGTATCCCGCTCAAATTAAATTTTGACAGAATGTCAAAATTGTATCCTGATTCGAATACGTTTATTAAATGCGATCATTTTTTCAGGTTTTTTCACGTAATCAGAGCGTCGCTTAGGCCGGTGGTGTGATTGTAGCGAGATATTTTTTAAACTTTGTTATCTTAACTCCTCGGGGATTCCAGAAAATTTTGATTTGTCGCTAGCTCTCCGCCAATTCTTAAAATTACGATGGACTAACCTGTGACGAAAAAGCAGCGCTCGTCTGCTTTATCGAAAGACGAAATCGAATACTGGTTTAGCAGAAGGACTACGAAAATACGGTTTTTTTAAAGGTACATTTGCGGTGTTTACAAAAAGTTGTACTATTATAAACGCTCCTTTTTTGCTAATCCACAATGTTCATCCTAAAAAAATTTTAAATGTATAACAGAGCACTTAGTGTCTGCTCCCTCGGGAAACAGTAAGTTTCTTCTCCAGAGAGTTGGAAGACTTCGTCTCAGGAAACATTGAGACTCTCGGGAAGACAAAACAAACTGATCTTATCAGCAGCAGACATCAATTGCATTTTATCAATCGTTATCAAAAGCTCCTCGTGTTTACTGTCTCATGGTTTGTTTACATAGGTCCGGGTGGCCCAGGTGGTCCCGGGGGACCTGGCGGTCCGTACGGTCCCACAACAAAGAAACCAGGAAAACCAGGAGGACCTGGTGGTCCTGGAGGTCCAGGAGGACCTGGAGGACCTACTACAAAGCCTCCTGGAAAACCAGGAGGCCCTGGAACCCCAGGCGGTCCAGGAGGCCCAGGAGGTCCGGGTGGGCCCGGTGGTCCTGGAGGTCCAAGTGGACCTGGAGGTCCAAATGGTCCCAAGACTACAACTCCAAGGCCAGGTGTGCCGACGAAAAAGCCAACCACAAGGAAACCGGGCACTCCAGGCGGACCAGGAGGCCCTAAGGGGCCTGGTGGACCCGGTGGCCCAGGAGGACCAGGTTTGTGATACGGAACGAGTCTTCTTATATGTTAAACGAACAAAATATAAGGAAATCAAAGTTAAATGATAGTATTAAAAAGATCCTAGACGAGTGTTTGAACTCAATTTCAGCAGTCATGTCATACCAAGTTTGATGAATATAGGGTGACGCTTACCTAAAGGGTTTTTTTGCCTTTTAAGAATCCTTACTTAAACTTGCTGTTTTGCTGGCAAATTGTGGTACAGGAAAGTAACAAAATTGTTAATTATGTGATTCAATTAATTGACATCTGCGTTCCGTTTGATTGGCCGTGGTGCAGCTGCCACAATTTCCAAATATAGATAATGTAACGTTAAACCAGCTGGAAACCAGCCAAATAGTAAACCTTTATAACAGTACCGCTTAAGAAACCTGAAGCTCACATCATGTTACGGACGTTAAGAATGTAAGGGTCGTAATGAATTAAATAATTAATGAATAATATTTATGAGAATATGTCAAGTAAAAAGATATTGCTCTATTTTCAACAGGCGGACCTGGAGGCCCGGGGGGTCCTGGAGGCCCAGGTGGTCCAACAACTGCACGACCAGGTGTGCCTACCAAACCCACCAAACCAACAAAACGCCCAGGACGCCCAGGTGGACCAGGGGGTCCAGGAGGACCCGGAGGACCAGGAGGTCCTGGCGGACCTGGAGGACCTGGAGGACCCGGTGGACCTGGGGGTCCAGGAGGACCAACAACCGCCAGACCTGGGGTGCCAACAAAACCAACCAAACCAACACAACGCCCGGGTAAACCAGGTGGACCAGGAGGGCCGAGTGGACCCGGAGGACCTGGAGGGCCTGGGGGTCCTGGTGGACCAGGTGGACCTGGGGGACCTGGAGGTCCGGGAGGACCAACAACTACTAGACCTGGTGTACCAACTAAACCAACCAAACCAACAAAACGCCCAGGTACGCCAGGTGGACCAGGGGGGCCAAAAGGGCCAGGAGGACCTGGAGGTCCAGGAGGTCCTGGAGGACCAGGAGGACCAGGTGGGCCTGGAGGACCTGGAGGACCAGGAGGGCCAGGTACAGTGAGAGCTTTGTGCAATCCACAACACTATCTGCAATCCATAACACATTTTTAACTTTTATCAACGAGCCAGCAAATTTTAAAATGTTGCGATATATTATATGCTCCTCTCAGAATGAATTCTTCGTCTTTGTCGTTAATGTTCGAATATTATGCGACTGTTAACAACTTTAAATTCATATTTGTTATACTACTTGGCGAATTGCGTTAATTTTGCAAAGTTCTGACCAACTAAACCCGGAGCACTCGTTATCAAGACAGTATTAGAGTATCAACATTTTTCAAAAGCGAACAATTTAGTCCTGATACAGTTGTTTAGATATCTCGTAAGTTTCTTCTGAAGTATCGCAACGAACATCACATGTCGAACACAACCTCCTGAACATGATATAATTTCCAAGAACTTAACCTACCTAACAAACTCAGATCTGAGTCAGAAGGATCCATTTACAACCCTGTGATAGGAAACGTGAATCTTAAACATCAAGTATTTTTTTCGATAAATCTAGGTGGACCTGGAGGGCCGCCAGCAGGACAGCCTACAACACCCGTCACAAAACCACCCGGTACTCCAGGAGGTCCAGGAGGTCCAGGAGGACCTGGTGGGCCTGGTGGACCTGGAGGACCTGGAGGACCAGGTGGACCAACAGGACCAACAAAGCCAACAAAGCCACCTGGCAAGCCTGGAGGACCTGGGGGACCAGGAGGGCCTGGAGGTCCAGGAGGTCCTGGAGGACCCACAACGAAACGTCCAGGAAAACCAGGGGGACCCGGGGGTCCAGGAGGCCCTGGAGGACCCGGTGGCCCTGGTGGGCCAGGAGGACCAACAACTAAACGACCAGGAACACCAGGTAAAAATTAAACCGTAACGGTGAAGCCAGCAGGAGTAATGCAATTGCAAAGCTGCCACTTTAATATGTTTTCGATAGAACAAGTAGTCATTCATCTATGGGAATTACTGTGTTTTAAATCTTTTGCTAAAGCTAGTAAACATTAATTGAAAGCTGAGAAAAATCGAGATTGAATTACGATGGCCAATGTTTTGAAAAATGCATCGAAACACTATCAAGATATTAGATTATGAAGAGATGAGCAATGAAAGCGAAAGTATGTCTCAAATATTATTCATTACTTTCCTAGAAACTGGAGAGGTTTTAATGTGTTTTCCTTTGCTGATATCGGTAGTTCATGTCTCTTCTATTCAATTTGGCTTTTAAGATGCGATACATTATACAGCACAAAATATTCACTAGATTATTCTGAACTTTAGGTGGCCCTGGAGGGCCAGGCGGCCCCGGAGGACCAGGTGGTCCTGGCGGTCCAGGAGGTCCTGGAGGACCTGGAGGTCCCACTACAAAACGTCCAGGTTCCCCAGGAGGACCAGGAGGTCCTGGTGGGCCTACAACAAAACCGCCACCTGGGAAGCCTGGAGGTCCTGGGGGCCCAGGGGGACCAGGAGGTCCTGGAGGACCTGGAGGACCAGGAGGACCAGGAGGCCCAGGAGGACCAAAGACAAAGTCACCAAAACCAGGAGTACCTAAAACAACACCCACGACTAAACCACCAGGAAAACCAGGCGGTCCTGGAGGCCCAGGGGGCCCTGGTGGACCAGGAGGACCAGGAGGTCCTGGAGGCCCTGGGGGTCCTGGAGGTCCCGGGGGACCCGGAGGTCCAAAAACAACAAAACCAGTTCCTACGAAGAAACCAACGAAACGCCCGGGATCTCCCGGTGGGCCAGGAGGGCCAGGAGGACCAGGAGGGCCCGGTGGACCTGGAGGACCTGGAGGACCAGGGGGCCCTGGTGGACCAAAGACGAAACCTCCTGGTACTAAAACCAAACCTACCAAGTATGCACCAGGAAACCCTGGAGGTCCTGGTGGTCCTGGAGGACCTGGTGGACCCGGCGGGCCAGGAGGACCGGGTGGGCCTGGAGGGCCACCAGCGAAGACCACGCCAAAAACACCCAAGACAAAAGCTCCAGGTCAGATCACAGAATATTGAGAAAAAAAAATAAAGGGCTGCTAATAATCATAAAAGTGTTACTGACTATTATCATAATCATAATGGTAAAATTAATGATAATGACAGTGGAATAGGTAATTTGATAAATGGTAAATACACATCTGAGGGTTCCAACAGCGGCGGCACGTTGCACATTACTTTCAGAGTTAGCTTACTCAAAACGACTCGTTTATACTAAGAGAAGCAAAGATGCATACCTCGAAATCGCATACCGCGAAGAAGACAAAAGAAAAACTTATTATGGCAAAACTTAGAGAAATTATCACTTTGTGATTTTTCTTTAACAATACACCTTTGACAACGACAATGACGGGAAGTGAACTATAAATACTATCATACTTCGTTCCCCTTTTTCAGGCAAACCTGGGGGACCTGGTGGACCTGGAGGTCCGGGAGGACCTGGGGGACCAACAACAAAGCGACCAGGATCTCCGGGCGGACCTGGGGGACCTGGAGGTCCCGGTGGTCCTGGTGGACCTGGTGGTCCTGGTGGTCCAGGAGGCCCAGGTGGTCCAACAAAGAAACCTGGAAAGCCTGCAAAAACCACAACCAAACCCCCAGGAACACCTGGTGGTCCTGGCGGTCCGGGGGGCCCTGGGGGACCAGGGGGTCCAGGAGGACCAGGAGGCCCTGGGGGTCCAGGAGGTCCAGGAGGTCCAAATGGTCCTACAACTGCTCCTCCAGGAAAACCCGGAGGACCTGGAGGCCCCGGGGGACCAGGAGGACCAGGAGGTCCAGGCGGTCCTGGAGGCCCGAAAACGGCTCCACCTGGTCAACCAGGAGGCCCTGGAGGACCGGGTGGTCCTGGAGGCCCAGGAGGCCCTGGAGGACCGGGTGGACCTGGAGGTCCAGGATGTGTCATGCGCCCAGGAGCGAAAACAACGCCAAAAAGCGGCCCAACAAAGCCTGGAGGTGCAAAGCCAACAACCGGAAAGCCTTGTATCACTATTCCACCAGGTAACGTGATAATCCAGCATTTCAAGGGAACGTTCCACGATCTTTAACCTTTTCTATCTTTGCTTTGCATCAACTTTTATTGTCATTTAACAGCTGTGTCCTTATATCTCAAAAAACTAAAATGCTTGCATTTGTTCTGTTCCTACGTCTTGTTTGTGTCAAAACGATAACCTCGTGAAAGAACTAGTTTATCAAATTGTAACGCAGAATATAAAAACGACTTTCTACGTGAAATAACTGCTTTCATTTTTATATTTGAGGCTTTACTGTCGTGAAGAAACCAACAACTATTCCTACGCGGCCAGTCGGACCATCTGGCCCCACAACAGGACCTGCTGCCACAACAGCGCCTAACAAAGGTATTATTGTTTTCCTTTTTCTCTTCAGTTGTGATTTAACTTTTAAGTTCAGCTTCATTTACAAAAATTAATTTCGTCGCATTCCCTTGCTTTCGTAGCCTTCTCCTCTTACAGTAGTATAGTTACCAAAGATCCTGCTTTGTTTATGTCTCTAATCATACCAACATATTGTTCGCACATGGTTTTTGTGGAAAAAAGCCAGGACAAGTAAAACCAAGCAGACTAAACGTTAATATCATTTAACGACAAATTTTGCTGAGACGTAATTATGAAATTATTTAAACAATGCTATGAATTAAAAAAACCATCGATTGTTCTACAGTGTGCAAAGTAAAGATGGACATTGGCTTCGTAATCGACGCAGCCGGCGGCCTTAAGAAAGTATTCCACTACATAAAGAAATTCGTCTTGGAATTGGTGGATTCCTTTACTGTCTCCAGTCAGAATGTCCGGATTGGTTTAATTACGAACTCTTATCGCCCTGCAGTCAAGATAAGCTTTGGTCAGTTTAACAAGCCGACCCAAATAAAACGCATCACCCGCCTGCTACAGCCCGACGGTGGAGCACGCCTATCAGGAAAAGCGCTAACCCTTGCATTAAAGCGGCTCTTTCCCGCTAGCAAGGGCAAGAAAACGTTGGTTTACCTAACTGCGGGTAAATCGTCCGACCGAGTGCTTGGCCCAGTACAACAGCTTGTTGCTATGGGAGTAAATATCTTCAGTATCGGCGTTGGAACTAATGCTGATCTCAGTGAGATTCTCACGGTAGCTAAAGATCCTCAGCACTCGTACAAGACCAACTTTAGAGGCCTGGGAACTATAGTGAAACGCATTAAAGACAAAGCGTGTGCAGGTTGGTATGCCTTTCCTGATTTGAGAGGCAATTTTGAAGGAGAAATTAAGGAGTGTCAGCAGACAGTCTATCAAAAATGGGAAAACCTGTAGCCTAATGACGTGACGTAACATTTGTCATTGGTAAATTAGTGGAAGAAGTAAGTACAATGCAAACTAAAAGTGAGTCTCCTAATATTAGCAACAAAGAGTGTTACCAAACGACTGTCGTTTCATAAATACATGTTGGATTCTAATCATCACCATAAAAACGCACATTACTTTTAGTAAGATGAATAGAGTCAGATTTTTATATGACTCTCTTGTTTTCCCCCGCAGAGGCAGGAGGCAGTGAACAGGGACCGAAAAAACCCACTAAGAAACCAAGTAAGTACATGAGCAATTAACATGATTCCAGGGTTCACGTTTAACCCCATTTCGAATTTATTAAATTTCTCTATCAACAGAACCACCGAAGGCTGTCGCTATTTTCCCACTGAACCAAAAGACTCGAGGAAAAGACATTGGTCCCCTGAGGAACAGCCCAGGACTAATATATGGTGTTCGACCCGCTCGTGGACCTAATGGTCAGCCTGGTGGAGCCATCAAATTCCCGAAATTTAAGACCGGCTATGTGGAGTTTCCGAACAGTGGGAAACTGGACACCAAGAATTCCATAACAGTGACTGCTTGGGTCAAACCGGATGCGCCAGGGAAAATAATTGAGTTCAGACCGAGAGGGGTGACTTTCGGCATTCGATCGCCTGATATTTTGTACGCTCGTTTTGTCCGCCGTAACGGTCGACCAACCAAAACTGTAAAAACAAAACGGCGGGGAGTTACCTTGCGACAGTGGAGTTACTTAGCCATTACCTATGACCAGCGAACGGGAATGGGAACTATTTGGCGGAACTCTCGACCCATTGCTTTTCAGAAGCTCGGCTGGATCAGGCTTGCTACAAAGAAACCTCTTAGGCTTGGAGGGTTGACCCGTGGTCGGCGACCATTCAGTGGCAGTATCACGTGTCTTCAAGTTTACAGCGATGCTTTGACTGGGCCCCAGATAAAGAATGTACAGAATGTTTGCTTTAAACCAGGTACTAATCACCAACCTCGACGTAAGATATACACTTAAACCAATTGAATATTGAACAACAATCAACCTGACATTTTGTCCTGATGCTGCTCATTCCAAGCTGCAATTAAACCATTATTTTCAGCTCACCCACCCTCATAGTCTTGGATTTGAGAAAGGCCATATTACGCTAAATTCAAAAATATTTTATCTCTGTCAGTCTTAACAGTGAAGACTTAGGACACACGCTTTAATTCAAATTCTTAAGTTCTTCATCAAAGTAGAATGGGAATGTAGATATGTGGGCTAAGTTATAGAATATAAAGTAACCAGACACATTTTTTTGGTACAATAGCTTTTAAAGATACGGTGTGCTGCCATACTCCAGAATATTTTAGGAGTACGAGACACGCGTAGTGTACTTTTAAAAATATACCGGCGGAGTATTCGAGCATAGTCAAGACGAATACTCTAGGTGTGCGCGGGGTATTGTGCGCGACTTGAATACCCTAGGATTCTAAAGCACCACGATCACGTATTCCATACTCGAATACCAGAGATTACTTTGATTTTTGCGCAGTGTTAGCCACAGAAATGCATTTGGTTGTTTTATACCATACATATCGCGGGTTAATGTTTTTTATTCTGTTTCCAGGGCAGCCGACTCCCACCAGACCACCAACAGCCCCTGTTCCAGGTAGGAGAGCAATCGACGGATACCACCCAGGAGTTCTTATTTGAACTGATCTATTTTGAAGTCTAGATTTTATAAAATTTAATCCAAACATAATGTCTTCATCTGGCAAGAGAAGGTTTTTATCTTGGTATAAACACGGTATGACCAATTTAGAAGCGTTCCAACCTCCTGCACTCCGTCCGCATTTCAGACTGTTAAGCATTTTATCTTCTTGTTTTAAAGTTTTTGTACTCTGAAAATGATCCTGTTGTTGTTGCATGTTACCAGCTCTACCTCCTGCGATGGCATTCTTCCCCTTGAAGTCTAAATATGGTGCCCGTGATATAAGCCCAACGAAAAACCGCCCGGGAAAAATCGTGGGTGCCTTACCAGCCCGAGGTCCTGACGGCCAGCGTGGTAGTGCTTATAAGTTCCGAGGCCGTCCCGATAGCTTCATCGAGTTTCCGAACAACGGACGATTGGATGCAAAGGATTCTATAACCATTCTTGCATATGTAAACCCGGAGAGCGCTGGACCGATCTTCAATTTTAATCCCAAAGGATTTGGAGTGCATTTCTGGATGGTTCGAAAGAATGTTCTCTTCGCACGCTTTGTGAAAAGGTCCAAGAAGTTTACACGGCCTGTGGCTACGAACAGAGTGAAACCGGGCACTTGGAACTGGCTTGCAGCTTCATACGATAAGAACACTGGGTACGCACGTTTGTTCGTGGATTCCAAAATCTCAGCTGAAAGAAATCTCGGCAGAATAAAGCTTGCCACCAATTATCCCGTTAGAATGGGTGCACGAAAGGGAGATCGTCGCTTCTTCCGGGGGAAAATAACTTGTGTTCAAGTTTACAATGAAGCCCTGACAAGCCGGCAAATCCGAGCTGCTAGAAAGAGCTGCTTCAGACCAGGTTTGTCGCAGACCTATTTAATCTGATTTTAAATTTTATTCAAGGAAAATAGAGTTACTTTCACTCTCTCTACAATGTTTTTCAGAAAATCGTACCTCTAATGAGTCTGAATGAGTCGCCAGTCAACATTTTAAGAGCAATAGAGTGTCTCTCTTTTCCGGTGCAGTCGATTTTACTGCAAGTGTTATTACTCCTAGCGCCTCATTATGGTCTTGAAGAGAGTTCCTTCGTAAAGAAAATGCTTAAAATGTTTGAATTAAAACAAAATTATTTGAAACAATGTTAGTGTAAATGTTCATTTTAGACAAGTTCTTATCGAGTGTATTTTCTGTTTCAGGTAAAGTCAAGCCCACAAAGCCAATTTCACCTGTTACCAAACCTACACCGGGTAAGTCTCGTTTCCTTTTTTTTTTCTACATCATAAAACTTAACAGTTGTAAGAGTCTTAAAAAACCGTTTCTTTAAGAAAATGTGTAAGATATTTTTTTCCTCTGTTCAAACAGCTATCCGTAACTTGGTGGCCGTGTACCCACTGGACGCTACTTCTGGTGCACGTGACCTCAGCCCTACCAAGAATCTTCCAGGAAAGCTTTCGAGTGTAAATATCGCTCCAGGCCCTGACGGCAAACCGGACACTGCATTGCGATTCTCTGGCAGTCCTAACAGTTACATAGAGTTCCCAAATAATGGAAGACTGGACACCAGACGTTCAATCACTTGCATAGCATGGGTGTACAATGAAGGAAGGGGAGGGCCGGTGTTCCAATACGATCCACGGGGAGTGGGGGTTGGGTTAAGAATCATCGGCTTGGATCGAATTGAAGCGCTCATTGTCAGCCGAAACAGACGAAAGAAAATTCCTGTCGTGACTCGAAAGAGGTTCTTTAAGCCCAGGACTTGGACTTACGTAGGATTCTCGTACGATTTCCTTTCTGGTATTGTCACATTGTACGTTAATGCCAGGCCAGTCTTACGTAGGATCATTGGTCGAGTTCAGCTTCTTACTAACAAACCAGCCCGCGCGGGCTCAACCAGGCGTGGAAAACGATTCTTCCGCGGTCGCTTGTCGTGTATACAGGTGTACAGCAGAGCTCTGACCAGGCGCGAGATCATTGCAGTGAGAAAAAGGTGCTTCAAAGGAGGTATGATAGGTGAAACAGAAATTAATTGAAAATGTAAGCCAGATTACCAGCGGGTTAACTTGTATGATAAATCCATGGCCAGTCTGTAGTCTCGTGTTTTTCAAATTGTTTCCTTAAGAAAATTTAATGAGTGTAATAACATTAATCGTATGCCTTTATTTTACCTTTTTATTGTGTATAGCATCGAAATGATGTTCAGAGAAATTCAACTCAGAAATCAGATCCAGTAACTTAGCAAAATTACGGTAGGAATAAGAAAGAGGCAAAGGAAAAACTGAGTGCAACAAACTTACTTGCACGGATTGATCTTACAATACTGTTTAAGTCATTTTGTATCATTTGTTTCTCATTTGCAGCCGGAATAATTCCAGGAAAACCTTCTACAGGTAAGAAGTGAATGTCATTGTTGCATAAATCACTCTTCGTTGTTCAGCGATATTTAGATGCGTTAATGTACCTATGATGATTTCAGATACCCCGACGCCTGTGGCTACATTCCCACTCAGTGGTGTACTCAGTGGACGGGATATCTCTCCAAATAAGAACCCACGAGCAAAACTCCGTAATGTGCGGCCAGACAACGGACCCGATGGTCTCCCTTCAGGTGCCATTAAGTTGAGAGGTAGTCGAGATAGCTATGTGGTGTTTCCAAACTACGGAAAACTGGACACAACGGACGAAATAACGATCACTGTGTGGGTGAAGCCCAAAAGCGCTGGACCAATCTTCCATTATAAGCCCCAATCCTGGGGTGGAGTACATGTCTGGGTTGTAGGACGACCTGGTAATCGAAAGTTTTTCGTCCGATTCTCCACGCGTAACGGCAAAACTGTTCCAGCACTAAGAAGTAGGAAAATCAAAATGGGACGATGGTATTATGTGGCTGTTACTTACGATAAAAAGAAGGGAGTTGGAACCATTTGGAGAAATGGCTTCATTGATGCTCAGGTATTACAGACATAACAATAGACTGTTTTTACCAATTTAACACATTTGGACCCATTGTCAGCAATTAAGGAAAGCGATATGTTCACAGTGGTGATTACAACAGTATCCAGAAAAAAGTCTCGCACACAGAGTTCAATTTCCAACTAAACCTAATTTCTTTGCTTTTTTTTGCTGATAGTCGCAGTCTTACGTTTTAGTTTGTTTGTGTTGTTATCTTCGGCTGACTTTTAACCTTCTTTCCAGTACCCTTTCTCATGGAGAGTAACAGACGCAATAGGTTAATGAACAAAGCAGAGTATCAGTCATTAACAATATCATTTGTTCGCCATTTAGCGCCGTGTTGGAATTTACAAACTCGCCACTAACTACCCAGCTATTATGGGGCGAAAACCAGGGGATCGCCGCGTACTGAGAGGAAGCATTTCGTGTTTGCAAATCTTCAAGAAAGCTTTGATTGGACCACAGATTCGAGCACAGAAAAGGAAATGTTTCAGACGAAGTAAGAGCTGCTTGCTTACTCTTTTTATATAAGACTAATTTAAGTCAAACAGAGACAGACAGATGAACAGGAAGGGAAAGGAAAACAGACTAACTGACAAACGTACCTACAAACTTACAGACAAATGTGCTTAAAGAAAGATAAAAAGACAGACAGAAAGATCAGTGTATTAGTTTTCTTACATTTTACAACGTAAATTATCTGATACTGAACTTTTGTTTTCTCTGTATTTTCTCTTCCAAGAACCAAATCCTAAAAGGCCCAAGCCGAAGCCAGGTGGGTTGTTGCAATATATGTTTGTAAGTCTTAGGAGTGATATCAAAGAACTGCAAAGAGTCGACCACAAACATTTTGCGCCTAGTAAAGAAGGCTAAGGTTAAAGAGTTGATGATGACTCATTGATGAGTTGATTCACTTACACGGTGGGATCCGAGATAAGTACGAGATCATTTATTAGCTTGAGGCCTGGCAACGATGACATAAACGAACCAAATGAACAGTTCCTAATTTCTGTTGCTCATACATGTGGTTTCTTTCCTTTATTATTTTGTCATTTGTTTTCAGTACGGCTTCATCCTCTTAGTTTGTACAAAAGCGCTTCATGGGATATTTTTTTGTCTTTATTCTGCAGCTCAGCCGATGCTCATGGGGCTCTATCCGTTTGATCCAATCAGTAGAGGCCGAGACAGAAGCCCCAATAAAGCACCTAAAGCTTTGTTCAGCAACGTCGCTTTGACCAGTGGTCCCGATGGCCGCCCAAAATCTGCCGTTAAACTGCGTGGCCTCCCAAACAGCTACATTGAAATACCCAATAATGGAAAATTGCGCACGACCAATTCCATCTCCATGTTTGCCTGGGTCAAACCTACAGGGACAGCAGGACCAATTATCAACTACGGCAGAGGACCCGCCTGGGAGACACACCTGTGGCAGACAGACCCCAAAACGCTCTTTGTTCGATATGTGAAGATAGGAGGTGCCCCCACTCCGGCCGTTACTAAGGCAGCGCTGACGCGAGGCGTTTGGAATTTCGTCGGTACAACTTACGATGGAACTTATGCCACACTTTGGGTGAATGGTAAAAAGGTCGCTTCGCGTAAAATCAACAGCATTCGTTTGTCAACAATTGGACCAATAAGGATCGGAGTGAAGAACGGCGATAAGCGTTACTTCAAAGGCGCCGTAGCTTGTGTGCAGCTCTATCGAGTTGCTTTACAGAAAAAACAGATACGGAGAGCCATGAAAAGATGTATGAGACGTGAGTATCTCAAAAATGGAATTGGTTTATGTGTTCTAGGTATTTCAGATTTAGCGCTGAGAAATATTTCAGTAAGAGAGGAAACATATTAAACTTCACCTTTTGGTGAATAAGTCGACTTGCATTTAACTTAAACGGATATAACCATATGAGAGCAGTTTTCCCATAATTCTTCTGGCAAAGAAATCGGATAAAATCTTGCTTTAGTCAATTAAATTATTGTTAGCATAAGCAGATATATTATGACATTCCTGGAGAAACATTTAAAGATCAGAGAAGCCATCACTTTCTTCCTATTCAAAAGGGCGCGGCCCAAACTGTAATTGAACTTGGTAATCGCGCGAATTTCATATAGTTCTTGCTGATAAAATAAATAGAGAGATAAATGTTTCACACTTGAGGCTCTATACTTTTACGTTTAGCAAAGTTGACCATTGATAACTATTTATTTAGGACGCCCGTCTGTTCCCCGTACCACTCCACCCCCACCGCCACCAACTCAGGCACCAGCATGTAAGTACAAAGGATTACTAATCCTGATTTAACAAACATGAAGGAATAACTGAAGCAGCTCAGAACTAAAATCAAAATCTCTGTCGCGAAGCCTATACGGAGGAAGCATCCTACCTATGTCATTAAGGCCATGGTACATCTAGCTGAGCCCGGCTAGCTCAGTCGGTAGAGCATGAGACTCTTAATCTCAGGGTCGTGGGTTCGAGCCCCACGTTGGGCGTTGCATTTCTTTTTAGCAGAAATTATATCCAGATACTAATATAATGATCTATTAGATTACTTACAAGCAATTCAAGGCATAGGCATTTCGAAATGATACAACGAAACTTTGAACATAGGAGAAGATTAAAAACAGACTGAGATTTGTGTTTTGACATGTATTTCGCTAGAACCGTACTTTTGTAATGACCACATAAAAATAAACGCTATGTTTTAACATTTTATCATAGTTACCCCCAAACCAGTTGTCGTTTACCCACTTAACAAGCGGTACCGAGGAATGGAAAAGCTGGGTCGGAATCCTCCTGCAATATTAAGTGGGGTGCGGCTTGCACGCGGACCTGACAAACGACCCGGCGGCGCGTACCAGTTCACTGGTAAACCCAACAGCTTTGTCAAGATCCCTAACAAGGGAAGAATGGACACCATGAAGGCTATAACGGTCCTTATATGGGTACTACCCAAAAACCGTATGGGCCCCATTGTTCAGTTCGCCGACAAAGGATCAGCCGTAAGACTGTGGATGATGAGGAGAAACATGGTGTTTGCAGAGTTTGTGACCAGGCAGTCACGTGATACCAAACCATATTTGGCAAGCGTTGATGGCGTATTACCTTGGAAATGGAATCACTTTGGAATGTCCTACGACAAGGCTACTGGTATAGCTACACTGTTTGTGAACAGTAAGCCAGTCGTGCGTAAAAAGATTGGTTATTTTGATCTATCAACCAATCACGATGTGTATCTGGGAGCGAGGCCAGGCGACAAGCACGCCTTCCGTGGTCGAGTGTCGTGTTTACAGTTTTTCGACAAAGCTCTTACAAGTCACCAGGTTAAGAAGATGGAGACGAAATGTCTCAGAGCACCTGGTAGGTTACCACGCCGGTGAAATAGTATACTTAAAACTCCATTCATCGATTACGCTTGGGATTTTGTCACCGCGACTCGACTATTTTAGACTTTCATTTAACATTTCATCAGTCCAAAGTTAGGATTACATAATTATTAGTCTACTTGGAGCACTGAGCCTCTTATATAAAAGTTGTTGATGTTACCCTGAAAAGCTGTTTTCAAAATTCCCGCGAGATGCAATATTAAGGAGACAAACAAGAGAAGCTGAACATTATACCAAATGATTAAGCTCCAGTTACACTATTGCCCGGCTAGCTCAGTCGGTAGAGCATGAGACTCTTAATCTCAGGGTCGTGGGTTCGAGCCCCACGTTGGGCGTAAATATTCGTTTTTCATGTTACTTTTTGTCTATCATTCTCTGATGTTTTCTGTCTCTCAAACAAACAATTTTTTGACAGGTGTTCAGCCGTCTATTCAACCAACCGTGAAACCTCCTTATAAACCGAAGCCGAAACGTAAGTAAACAAATTGCATCTCTGGCAACTTGAGCTGGTAAACAATAACTGAGAACTCAAAGACTTCTATCATTTTTACAAATGTAAAAAAAAGCGACCAACATGATTTTTTATCCCACCTATAGCTTGTCACAAAGTGGTTGCAGTTTACCCGCTGACTGCTCAAGATCAAGGGCGGGACATAAGCCATAAACCCAATCGACCCGCGAGGTTGCGGGGCGTTTATCCTGCACCTGGTCCTGACGGTCAACGCGGGACAGCGTATCGCTTCACAGGAAGACGCAACAGTTTTATTGAGTTCCCCAATAGGGGTCCTTTGGATACAAAGGACTCTATCACTTTACTAGCTTGGATTTACCCCCAAGGAAAACCTGGACCCATTGCAAACTATCATCCAAACGGATGGGGTGTACATTTCTGGCTCGAAACGCCAAGGACTTTGATGGCGCGCTTTACGCGGCGTGGAAAACGCGGTAGACGAAGGCGGCGCTACACTGTTGCTTTACGAAGCAAACGGATCCGATTGAATCGTTGGCAATTTGTCGGTTGTAGCTACGACGGGAAAACAGGAACGGCGAGATTGTGGATCAACAACTATCAAGTGGCACGGAAGTACATCGGAAGGATTCGGCTAGCCACCAATTATCCAATTAGAATGGGAGAAAAGATCGGAGATAAGCGCCGATATTCTGGAAGAATCTCTTGCTTCCAAGTGTTTAACTACGCGCTGACCCAAAGGGAGATAAGAGGAAGACAGAGGACTTGCTTCAAACAACGTAAGTGACAAGTACTAACAATGAGTTCTAGCGTAAAACATATCGAGGTAAGTTACATTGTAAACCAATCACCTATTCAGAAATTTTAGCGTCATAAAAATCAGCAAATGATAGTTCATTTCTTAATAAATGGATTATTTCTCGTGAGAAACGCGGCTGCATGGGAGTGAAAGCAGTTCCTGGTGAGTTGGTTGATAAGCGTATCATTGCAAATTTTTTGTCATTGAGTATCATACCCCTCAATGTTAATCATTCAGTGTTAAAATAAAAATGTTAACAGATATTTAGAGTGAGCTGATCTCATCTGTTGATTCTCAAATGTATAGGTAAAGGTCCTCTTCGACCACGCCCATCAACTGGACGGCCAGTTTGTAAGTATCAAATACTTTTACTGCTTACCTGAATACACCTTGATAATCTAACATAGGTTTACACACTCAGCTTATAAATTTTATCAAAAAATTTAAGAAAGGAATTGAGTAAATATTGATAATCTAATTACGTCGATTTCCAGATCTTCCCAGACCAGTGGCGTTCTTCCCACTGAACAAAGGTGCCAGAGGAAGGGATCTTAGAAACAGAAGCCCTATAGGAAGGCTCAATCATGTTCGTGCGGCTCCGGGTCCTCTCGGCCGACCAGGCGGGTCCATCCAACTTCTCGGCAAACGGACCAGTTACGTTCAGTTTCCTAACAGACGTGGAGGTGCACTCGATACGTCATACTCTATGACGGTCTTGGCATGGATTTATCCTGAAGGTACCGCAGGGCCCTTATTTAACTACCATCCAAGCGCCCGTGGAGTCCATTTCTGGCTAAAAACTCCAAGAACGTTGTATGCCAGCTTTATGCGTCGAAAGGGAAGAAAATACACCGCGCCTGTGAGGAGCAGATCCATACAGCTAAGAAAATGGCAATTTGTCGGAGCAAGTTACAACAGAAATACGGGCACAGCAGCACTATGGAAAAATGGAAAAAAGATTGCTAAAAGATTTATCGGTCGGATACGACTTGCCACTAACTATCCAGTACGCATGGGAGCTAGGTCTGGGGACAGACGCTACTTTAAGGGACGTGTTACTTGTCTGCAAGTCTATTCAGTGGCGCTAACTGCAGCGCAAGTGCGACGTGCCGCTAAGAAATGTTTCAAGGCGGGTGAGTTCTAAAGCGTTCTAGGATAGTTATCTTTGATTATTTATCCAGCTGACAATTTTTTTTTGTTTGCTTCACTTCTATTTGAAGAAACATCATGTGCAGCGCGACTTTGATGTGGCTGAAAATGATCTTTCGGTAAAGATATCCGTTTAAAACACTTCATTTGGCATATTTACTTTCTGAAATGAGCGCGCGAATGTAGGCTAAATAATTTGTTCAACCCTCTTACCACTTGACACACTGCATTGGGTTTTTGCACCCTTAATGCTGTCAAAGGAAAAATCCGATTAAATAAGACAAGGTTATCTCACAACCAATTGTCTAAATCGTATTTGCAAGCACCATATTGCCGCAGCTGTTTTACTATCTTATAAAATGGCAAGGGGTTTGTGCAATCCTTATGGGAGACCTTGCTTTGTCGGATATGTTGTATTGTATGTTAATATTAGGTTTCAAAGTAATCCTGCGCAATATCTTGATAATAGCCAAATAACATTTTTGTTATTCGCCAGCTCCAGCTCCAGTACGGCCACGACCAACCCTCAGACCAACACGGCCCACTGCTCCCAGACGTGAGTAACAGTTTTAACATATTTCTATGCCAAAAGAGAAATTTTAACTCTAAAGCGTATTGTCAAATATTTGTCCATCTACTTGCAGCATCCTATAATCCTGTCGCCGTCTACCCATTGAGTGCCGCCACTAAAGGACGGGACATGAGCGCTCGCAAAAACCCTCGGGCCATCCTCGGTAGCGTTCGTCCGGCTCCGGGCCCCGACGGAAAGAAAAGAAGTTCGTATCAGTTTTTCGGCCGCCCGAACAGTTACATACACCTTCCAAACAACGGCGCACTAGACACAGTGAATTCCATCACAGTATCCCTGTGGGTGTATCCCCAGGGGCCGGGACCGCTCGTCAATTATAACCCCAAGGGACAGGGAATGCAGATTTGGATGGTCAGCCCGACGCAACTGTTTGTCAGGTTTGTCCGACGCCGAGGCCGCCGTCTAACCTCGCCTCTCATCTATAGAATATACCGCAGAAGTTGGAATTACGTGACAGCGGTATACAACCGAAGAACAGGAGTGGCGAGACTTTACGTAAATAACCGGCTGGTTAGACGAAAACTGATCGGAAAGATACGCTTGGCAACTAATTATCCTGTTAGGCTTGGTGCTAAGATAAAGGGTCGCAGGAGTTTCAAAGGACGTTTGGCCTGTCTGCAAATCTACAATACTGCTTTGACAGGAAGGCAGATTGCTTTAAGAAAGAAGATGTGCTACAGAACACGCGGTAGGATTGGTTATGAGATTTCTTGCGCGTTTCGTGGTGATTCAGAATGCTGTTTTTTTAACCACTTTATTTTGGCGTGGTACAATTCAGATCCTTTTCAAGCCATTGCCTTTTCAAGGTTCTTAAATGCTTAAGAGTGCTTGTGACACAGGACACATCAAATCAGGTTCCTTCGTTAACATCTCGAAATAGAAACTTATAACAAGTATCTTGAATTTATGTATTTTTTCATGGTAAAACGAAAGGTTTCTGGACACAACGTTTATTTGGGAACGAATAAACAGGAGCCACATTCATTAATAGCACTGTGTAAATCCATTGATTTGTGACGTATACTTTAAACAGTCTTGATATGTATTTTTTATGTTCTAAAACCAATTTCTTTTCTCTGTTTTCTTTCAAAGGCCCTCTTCCTATTTCATCTGCACCAAAACCGATCAGACCAGGTGAGTTTAAACTTTGAAAAATGTCATATTCCTGAATTTACCACAATCAGAGAGGGAAAATAATTGTCGAACGGTATCTAACAACTGTTCACCGGAGTGGAGGTGGCCATGATAAAAATTTACTTGGTTGCGAACCGGCGAGGTAATCATAGATATCCACTGTTAGCCACGGACACTGAGGTGAAGAGCTGTTTAAGTATATACTAAAATAATGAGATGATGTAGCACAAAACATGATTTTAACTCATTTATCCTTGCAACGATTACAATATTTTCGGGCGCAAATTCCGCGCGTGTTGCTCGAAGGTGAATAGCAAAGAATGTTCGGAGTCTGAGTTGCAAATCAGAGCGCACTTTCAACGCTATCCTCATATTTCTAGTATATAATAAACTGTGATATTTTCCATTGATTTTTTTTGTGTGTACATAAGCTTTTTGACGAGTTCTTAAACCTGAGTTTATTTTTTTCATTATTCCCAAGTATGCCAAAAGAGACTGGACATAGCGTTCTTGTTGGAGAGCGGAAGAATAAGTTCCAGTAACTTCCAGCGCACTCTTCGTTTTATCAAGAGACTTGTGGTGTCATTCCCACGTGCTAGGTTTGGTCTCGTGTCGTATTCCAAGCGTGCCACAAAAGTCTTCGGATTTTACAGGTAATTGTTGTAATTTCAATCTATTTCAAACCAGACAATGATCTAAGAGACCGGTCAATATTGTCACCTGAGGGACTTAGGGGGTGGGGGGTCGGAGGTTTTTGGTTTTGTCACGATAGAATTTACCTGATCCCCATAAGGCCCTACAACAAAATATTCTCAAACCCCTGCTTTTATTGGCAGTTTCTTGGCGTTCAATTATTTTTTATAGCTTCCCATTTATATTCTGTTGATGACGACTAATTTCCCCTCTGTTCCCATAGAAAACCAAGTGATCTCCCCACAAAAATCAATTACTCCTTCCCCCTCTATAATTAGTGACTGGTCACCAACTTAAGAAAAATCTTATTGGGTAAGGTGGCCATCTCCAGCGTGGTCGCTGAGTAAAACAAAAGAAATGACATCTTTCTATAACACATTGTAATCATTTTTATCTCCCAACGCAATGATTCCTTTCAGTTTTAGAGGAAGAAGACGGAGTTTGCTGAGTGCCATCAGCAGCGCTCCTTTCTTCAGAGGCGGACCTCGAACTGGTGCCGCCCTCATGTATGTCAAGAGCAATCTGTTCAGTGGTCGTTCTCGAGGCAGAAAAGTTCTTTTTGTAATAACGCACGACAGGTCATACGATAATGTTGCTCTCCCAGCAGCCTCCCTGCGTCGTGCTGGTGTCGAGGTTATCAGTATTGGCACCGGAAGAGCACCGAGTATTGGACAGCTGCGGCAAATGGCGGGAAAACGAACCGGTGCTGTGTTCACTTCAAGCTATAGAACTCTAATGTCCATTGCGAAAGCAGTTCAGCGGAAGGCTTGTGCAGGTAACACGATGTAGCAAAAGTACTCGTGGCAACACCTACGTTGTTCAACAATAAAAATTACCGAATTTAACAAATTGAGAAGTACGAAATGATAGGAAGATATGACAACGACTCGGGTTTAAAATTTTAGGACCACAGTATTCATTCACGTATTTCTTTCGTTGTTATTTTAGGTGCCAGACCCTTCGTGAAGCCTCCGCCAGGAAGTGAGTGTCAATTTCAAGATCACAAATAAACTTAAATTAGGTTGAGTTTTTCCTTTTTTTTTTTTTTTTAAATCAAGCTGATGCGAAAGTATTTAAAATTAAACGTACCGATCTTTTAAGTGTAAACAAAACATTTAATGTTTAAAGCAGATCTACGAGTCCACCAACATGTTTTTTAATTACAATACAATCGATGGTGTTTAATGAAATATTTTATTTTTTATCATTATCTGCAGTTATAATGCCAAAATTTCCAAAGCCAAGGCCTCATGGAAAAGGTCAGTACAGCTGATGTTATCGTTTCACGTTTTGACATTCGTACGTCATTAAACCAGCTTTTAAATGTGTATTTATTGCTTCAAATATGAACTGACTCTTACGATTAACAAAATGGCTTCGTTTCTGAAACGAACTGAACATAAACTAAAGGGGATCGTTTTGATAAAATTCCTATTAATTCAATCAACAAATAGATTCCAAGTTTCCGTGCGTCTGCTGTGCCTCGTGTGCCACTTTTTTGTTCTTACCACATTTTGACGTCCTCTGTGATCTATTACTGAACAGACGCACGGCAACTTGGAATCTATTTGTTTTATATAATAAAGAACTAAAAAAAGTTTTAATGATGACGTCATCTATACGTCTGTCCTCCAATAGATCATAAGTGAGAACCAATCAGAATGCGTGCATAACCTAGCTTATTATATAATTTGAAATAGTTAATAGCTCAACCAACTATTGCGTATGTTTAAAGGCCGCTTACGATATATATATTTCATTCTTTCAGTGTGTGCTCGTCCTGTAGACATTGTCTTTATCGTGGACGCCTCTGCAAAAGTTGACAGGAAAAATTTCCTTTACATACGCAACTTTTTGAAACAAATCGTGTCATCATTCTCTGTGTCTGCCTCAATCACTCGTTTTGGTATGGTGGAATTCAGTACTAATCCCAGAAAATTGTTCGACTTCAACCGCTTCACGAATCAGGCAACGTTAGTAAACGTGTTGGGTCGTGTGCCGTACATGGGGGGTGCGCCGATGGCGGGAAAAGCGTTGAAATATGCCGCGGCCACACTCTTCGCACGTACCACGAGGCCGAAGGTTGCCATAGTGGTCTCCAGCGGCAAGTCACTCGACTCGGTCATGGCTCCCGCGCGAATGTTACGGCGTGCTGGCGTGACGTTAATCGCGGTAGGCCTGGGTCAAAGTTTTAGTGTTACGCAACTGCGACAGATGGCTACCACCAGGAGACACGTGTTTGCGTCACACTTTAAAACCGCGAACAACATCGTAAGATCGATCAAGGAAAAAGCTTGCAAAGGTACGAGCCATCTGTACTTGGAACAAAATTTTAAGCTGTGTTGAAATACTGCTAATTTTAACTGTATTTGGCAAACATTTTCGTTCGAATAGTGATTTTTAAAGATTTAGGACTGATGTTTTTAATGCATTTTTGTCGTAAAATTTGATGAAAGTCTATAAAAGTTAAGTTTTTTACTTTAAACGTTGGTGAACTTAAGGAATTTTTAAAACCTACGTTAAACATTCACAAAGAAAGGCGATCAAGTGGAGTTTAAGAAAGAATTGTAATTTGCAAGAAATAACTACCATAGCCCTGAGAATTCTACTCTACCGGTAGAAAGACAACTCGTTCAAATTCTGACTAGCGTTTTTCTGTATGTATAATTCTCTTAGCTCCCAAATCTGTTCCTCGTCCTGTGCCAGGAAGACCTCGACCGGGTACGTTTGACTCACTATAATTATCAGTGATATTTTCCTTGTTAGGGATAAATCGATTTATAAAATTCTGAGAAGAAAGAGTTGCTTTGACGCCGGGTTGTGAGGGACTGGGTTTGAGTCTTGCGTGTTAATTCTGTCCTGCTCTTTGGCGAGACACTTCAATCTCGTAACGCCTCTCCCCACCCAGGAACGCAAATGGGTACTCGTAAACCGCTAAGGGAAACTTCATGAAATTCTACCAGGTTACCCGCGAAGACTAACCGCCAATCCAGGTGAAGCAGGTAGACACCTAACACCAGTCATTCTACAGAAACTGAGATACGCTTTGGTAATAAAGAGCCACAAGGCTCGAAAGAATTAATCAAAGCTGAAAAGAAGGCTGAATTCCTCTTCCACGTTCCCCCTTCTTTCCTCTACATCTGCTAAAAGGCCTATCATGTAGCTACTGATCGATCAATTTTAACTAAGCTGCTTTACAATTCTTCTTCGGTTACCAATAGGTGGAATACGTCCGTACAAATATGTTGGCGCTTACAAAGTTCCACCTCGCAAATATCTTGGCCGACCAATTCGAATTAAGAATCCCATATACGGACGCAGGATATGCGAACGCATTGCCCGACGGGATCGTTTCCGATCCTTTGCAGTGTTTGGCGGCCGCCTTTGTTTTCTCTCTCGTCGAGGCCCTCGTAAATTTATGATCGCTGGTCGAACAAAGTCGAAGAAGCCTAGAACCTACATTAAGGTCTTCATTGAACCCAGAGGTTGGTGATAAGATCTGTCTCTCATAAATGATTATTTTGAACTTTCATATCATAATGCGAATTTCTGTCTTTTTTAACACATACGGAACATCTGTCTTAATACATGACGGTAATAGGTCCATCAGGTGGAATCATGCCCAGACCACTTCGGCCAAGGCCCCGGCCTCGGCCTCCTCCTGGGTCACCAGCGAGACGCAAGCCCCAACCAGTTAAATTGCCTTTGCCGAGGCCAAGGAAACCAGGTTAGATCATATCGACAGTAAAGTGTCAATCGAACATTATGACGAGCAATTGTGGTCTAAAATTAAACTGGTGATTTCCAATCAAACTTTCAACAAAATTATCTTCCCCTTTGGTTTATAATTGCAAGATATCTACCCTACCTAGAGTTCCCAGATTTTAAATACGTTTAGTAATAACTGACAGTATCCTATTCCTCCTTCTAGCTGGACGAATAAGACCGAGGAAAAAACTAAGGCCGACCCCAGGTATGGCATTTTTTTTTTTATGGGGAAAAAGGTTAATTTGTCTTGAACAAACCATTTCCTTTGCAAGAGATTATAAAAACAGTTTATAATTATTCTCTTGTCCTTTGTTAATACCTGAATGCGCTAAGAAAGGAAGTCTTAACAATGTCTATTTTTCCTTCTTTTAAGGTGGAAAATATAGATACTATGGAATATATCGTGCTCCACCCGGCAGAAAACTTGGTAAACCCACAGTAATTCTAAAAAGCTTGAAGAACGCGAGAAGGAATTGTCAACGTCTAGCGCGCATGCGCCGCGCGTGGGCATTTGCTTTGCGGTTTGGTCGTCAGTGCTTTATCGCAAAAAACCATCCTCGCAAATTTCTGAGGTTTGGTCTTCCTCGAACGAAAATGCCTGGTGCCCTGAAAGTTTACATAGCCAGAGGTAAATACAAGATTGGATGATTTGGAGAGTTATGTGGAAAGTTATAGCAGTAAAGAATGTTGTGCTTGAGAAAGTAAAAAAGTAAAGTAAATTTCAAAAGTATCGTAAAAAAGGTTTTTTCATCATGGTGGATTCACTTGTAATAAATTATGCCCCGCTACACGTTGTTGTCCATCAAGAAAGAATGTTGTCTTAATTTCAAACCGCGGATGTAACTTTTACCCCTAATTTCATCCTTCTTCCAGTCTTAAATGATGCCAGTTATGCTGTCAATCAAAAAATTAAAATTGACGTCTTCGTTTTTTTTTAGGAGCTACCAACATACTAAAAATTAGACCCAGGCCGAGACCGAGACCTTTACCTCGTCCCAGGCCACGACCGAGACCAGGTAAGCAAGTAGGTCTATGTTAATTCCAAATACATAATAAGATTTTATTTTTCCTTCATTGACCCTTAAATTCCTAAGAGTGACAAGGTTCTAATTTCTCCTCACAATATCACCACTGAATCAAATGTTTTAGTTCATGAGAATAAAGGAAATGATCATCTACTAACGAAGCTCTTATTGGTTTTACAAATTCTCCTTGTTAGAACCTAGGTTATGTATAGAGAGCAGTATGGAGAATATGCATACTGATGTTAGGGTGTAAAGGGTTAATTGTTTAAGAAGAAGCAAGCAAGCATCGGATGGACGGAGAATCTAAGCAGCTGAATGGGGAACTGATGGAGAGTGAGACCAGAAAGAAGTTTAGATGTATTATGTGTCCTTTTAACTGAAATGAGACTGTTTCAAAGTATCATTGTAGTCATTTGATATTGTGTTTCTTACAGGAGGACGACCTCGAATCAGACCTCGTCCCAGGCCTCGTCCGAGACCTCAAATTAGGCCTCGTCCAAGTAAGTTTTGTGTATTAAATTTGGTGCTGAGAAAATCCCGCACAATAAAATTTTGATTTTAAGGAAATTTTGATAATTTTTTTTTTCAAATTAGATAAGAAACAGAAAGCAAAAAACAAAATGCAACAAAAAAAACGCTTCTAACAAAGGGCTAACGCTCCGAACGTCAGCTTTAGAATCTCTTTACGTTGGCCAATTTACATTATTATCAACCCAGTTGATAGAACTATGTTGTCTTGTAATAACCCCCCCCCCCCCCTCCCCCCACTGACGCAGCACCACAGAGTCGTTAGCAACTTGCTCCCTTTTTTCGTCAGGGCGTAAAAGATATATGTACGTCGGAAGTTACCGTCCACCGCCCAGTCGTATACTCGGACGACCAATCATAACATTTAGAAGCAAAGTTAACATACGAAGGAGATGTGAAAAGATAGCAAGAACCGGAAATTACCGAGCATTTGCCCTACGGTACGGTCGACAATGTTACGTAGCTCGCCTGAAAAGTACGAAGTTTACAAGGTATGGGCGCTGGCGATTGATAAGACCTGGTGCACTCAAGGTCTATGTAAGCACGACTGGTGAGTAGCAGACGAACTTTCAATTATTAATTATGCCTTTGCTCCTTTCGCGTTTCCTGAATTCCAAGTTTTTGTTTATCTTTTGATCATCTCAGCAGGTAAACCTATACGCCCTCGCCCCAGGCCACGCCCGAGGCCGAAGTTACCAGGTATGGTACATGATTGAGATTTATTCGTCTCCATGAGAGTTCCATGATTGTTATGCGTAGACAGCTCTCACTCTCGGATACAAAGATAATATTCCATTTCTCATCCATTTTATGGATCAGGTCACTATCTTATTGCTATTTCTTTGAGTAAAAGATTAAGAATGATGATAAATTTTGAGTTCCATCGTTGATTAAGTAGAGATGTTATCATTTCAAGAGAGATACAATTAAAGTCTGGGTCCCCGCGAGAATTAGAACCCAGAATTTTTTAGTTCATGCACGAATACTCTATGACTGTGTTGCATAAAACCCACTGGTGTGCTAACCCACTCAGTAAGTTCAAATGAAACACGCGTCCTACTTACTGCTGGGATCAGCCGTGAGGAAAACCTCGTGTGTCTACACCAGATAGTACGTCATTAGGACTATCGTTGAATAAATACAGAAGTCAGCATTGTTAAAATCGTGGGACAAATACTTTTCTCTTTTGCCAGCAAATACTGACACCTCTGAACTGCTTGCGTTGTTCTGTATCATCTTGAATCTGAACAGCAGAGGTTGAATGTCATTGATTCTAGGAAGAAGATATGTGCCTAAATACATCGGAAGGTACCGCACTCCTCGTAGATTGGGAAGAGCTGTCCTCACTTTCAGACGACGTTCGTCCGCTCTACGGAACTGCTACCGCTTGGCTCGAGCACGAAGGGCGAGAGCATTTGCTGTCCGTGCCGGAGTAAGCTGCTACTTATCTAAAATGACGTCGGTCAAGTTTACAAGGCTCGGAAAGACTCGAGTAGGGGGCCTCAAAGTTTACGTGATAAGGAGAGGTGGGTGCTACCTCTTAAGATCAATAGTTTGTCAGGTTAAACAGATGACCGACTAGCCTTTATTGTTGCAAACAACGCGAATCATCGCGCATTCCTCCAGAACAAAAAAATTATTGGCCTAACGTTCCAGTTGTCGTGTAACTCAGCTGTCTCCAAGTAGTACAACGCAAACTATTCCCCGGGTTCTATGATAAAAAATGGATTTCTTTATTGTCTGTCATGATCGTGACAACATATTGTAGATATTTTTATTCCAGTAATTGCTGCGCTAAGTGAGGTGGCCAAAGATTTCTATTGTGAGACAACGTGGTTTAGTAAAAACCTGGAGATGGTTCTGATGATTTTTACCTTACATAAGTGACAATCTGTGCTGTTAAGGCTTGAAGCCGTGCCTGTCTACGTGTTATGTATAAATGCACAAAGAAATAAATGCCGTCATTTATAACTTCAGGTACATCTAGGCCCCGGCCTCGACCCAGGCCGTCGCGACGCTTATGGAACTATCGTCGCCTCGGTACATACAAAGTACCACGGGGCCGTTCATCTCCAGGCCGCAGATACTTAGGCACGGTCAGACCCAGATTAAATCCCGCCAAGCAGTGCGCTATCATGGCGCGAAAGGCAAGATATCGCTATTTCGGAGTACGAAGCAGACGCTACTGCTATGGAGCAAGCTTACGTTCACCACTGACAAGATTTGGAAAAACGTTTGGTGTTGGAGGAATGGTTGTTTACAAGATTGGAAGAGGTGAGCTATGAAAACTCTGGATCTCCGGTTTCAACGGCAGAACTGACAAACGTTTGCGCATGTCACGAACTTCCAAAGCAATAGCATACCTTGATTAACATGGCAACATTTTTAAAAAAGTGAAAAGCGTTGATACCCTCTATTCATAACAAGTGTTGTTGTGGAAACTTAAACAAACTAATATCCCTAGGACTGCTTAAGCCAAATGTCGACGAATTTGCTGCTCAGCTATCACAAAATGTAATTTTTCGCTCGAAAGACAACAGTTTTTACCTAAATTTAGGCAATTGTTTCAGGATAAAAATGTGATTTTCAATAGAAAGTCAAAGGAAGATTTACAACGAAAGAATTGAGCCCAACATCTCCACTAACTCAGTGAAGTGTTGCTGTTCTTTCTGCATAGCCTCGCAAGAGCTCGTGACCCGCGCAAACATTCTATCGACTTGCTGTTTGAGTCGTAAACATTTTCCGACGTGAAACTGTAAGTGTAAGCTTTATGATAGAACTCACTGAAAAATAAATTATGTTTTTGTGACCTGCAGGGCGTCTGAGACCTAGGCCAAAGACAACAGTGTGGCATTATCGATACGTCGGCCGCTACAAATCACCCACTTCAACGCGTTTGGGTCGATTTATTGGAAGGATGAGAGGGAAAACGAAAGTGTTTGAATGTGCACGACGTGCCAAAAGGATGGGATACCGTGCATTTGCTTTGCGCAACCGAGGAGATTGTTACGTGTCAAGATACTCGTCAACTTACTCCACTAAACCTAGGGTGTTTGGGCGCTTCATGGCGAGCACTGGTGGACCGCGTGCTATAGATGCTTATGTGATCAGGAAAGGTAAGATACAGCGTAAAAAAGCTTAGCTTTTGAGGATTGAATGCTGATTAGGGTGGATACAGTGCGGTTGAAGCTCCTAGATAATCCTTTGATGGTGAGCCATTCAAAAATTGATGGCACCGCAAAAAAGTTGTGACGTCTTTATCGTCGGTGCCTGCTCAGTAATAACTCAGACATCGGATAGGACCTTAAGCCACTTTTATTGACAGAAATACCGGACAGAAATGTATAGAGATCTTATTGATTTATTCAGCATAACGTCGAATCAGCCGTAATAAACTGCCTTTTAACCCCATTCATCGATGAGCATCAAATCAAACATGTCAGTAAGCCCTATTTACGAGACTCTACCTTGTGATTGGTATCACTCAATTTTCGTTTGCTTTATTAAGGTCGTTTCAAGCCTCGCCCCAGGCCTCGTAAAGGAGGCTTTGCCTGGCATTACCGTTGGTTGGGACGATTCAGATCGCTAAAAGGAAGAGGTTTGGGCACGAAAATAGGTAGAGTGACAGGGAGAAAGAAGGTGTTCAGTTGCGCTCTCTTAGCAAAACGCCGAGGTTTCAAAGCATTCGCTTTACGCCGGAATGGAATCTGCTACGGAACTCGATCATCTAGAACGTATGCAACCAAACCCATAATCAAGGGTCGCTTCAGAGCTGGCGCAGGAGGATCACGTTTCATTGATGCTTACATGATAGGGAAAGGTATGTGATACAGCCGCGGCCCTTGATCGTAGTGAAATACTTTCGTCAAGTTTCTTCTGAAAAATAAAAACTTCACCCTTGCATTAATCCCCAAGTACTGTAAGTATTGTAATTTTCACTCATATTGAGCGGTCGTGGTCATCCTTCACTGACTCCCAACGGCCAGTTTGTATTGTCTAACGCATATTGGGAACGATAGCTCAACGCCGAACTACTCAAATAAACTAAGGATAATCTCTCAAGTAGAATTTAAACCATGTTTATCTCCCGGAATCAGTGTCAGTACTTTAAGTTCACCTTTCCCCACGCATTGCAGATTGATACTACGCATTAACATCACGGTCAAACTGTATTAAGTGGTCAGTCTGTACCAAACAGTCGCCATTCCTCAAGGTTGACCGCTTGATAGAGGTTTGACTGCAATGGTTTTGATACCTGTTCTGTAACTTCATCATGATAATTATTCTTTTGTAGGTCATTACAGACGGCCATTGAGAAAAGGCAAGTTGTACATTTGCTATGGTTCTCTTTGAATTAAATAACGGTTTGTTGATAATTTTTAACCAACACACCTGTTAGGCCCGACAGACTTTGGCAAAACTACAGCCATTGATATGTTTCAAGTCTTGCACACTTCAGCTCTCTTCAGTGGCTTTCGTTTCGGGCGAGGAAACCTGGTTCAGCGCTTAAGGTCGAGAGCTCACAGATTAATCGTCAGGCGACAACTTAAAACTCCTCACGTAGAAACTTATCAGGATAAAGGAAACGAAAACAGGAAAAAAAACAAGAAAAAATGTTTACTCTTTTAATTTCGTCTCACCCAGAAACTTACCAACATGCCTCGACCTCATGTGCTCGACCCTGTTTTACGCGCGGCCAAACATAAGGTGCATGATCCTTTGATAATGTAAGCGACTGATAACTAGTTACTAGCACATTAATCTTTGATCAAATGCCATAAATAAGCTCGCCCATGTTTTTTTTTGCAGGAGTTAAGGGTCGCTCTCGGAAAGCAAGACAACGAAAGCGAATGAAACAAATAAGAGCTGTAAGGAGAAGAGTGAGACGAACTAAGAGAAAGCAGCAGCGAGTGGCAAAAACTAGAAAACTGAAACTGAGAATAATAAAACGAATCCGACTGCTAAAGGTTTTGAAGAGGAAGGTAGTCCGAGTTGTTGTACGGGTCCGTCGTTTGAAACGACTGGGGAACATAAAACGCCTCAGGTTGGCAAGAAAAGCAAAAATTGTCTTGGTTAAAAGAGTGCGAAAAATGAAGAGGAAAATACAGAGACGCAAGTTAAGACTCAAACTACGATTAGCGCGATTGAAGGCAGCAAAACACCGAGCTAGAATCCAGCGAGCTAGACGACGGGCCATGAGGTTGTTGCGATTCAGAATGAAGCAGCGCATGCGGAGATTGAAGTTACTTGCTCAGCAGAGGAGGGCCCGTGCCCTTCGAATAGCCAGGCTGAAACGTCTGAGGCGATATCGTCGGTTAGCCATGCTGCGCGCACGTCAAAGAGCGCAAGCAGCGCGCATGAGACTGTTGATAAGGCAAAGGATGCTTCAAATCAAGCGGAAACTAGCTCTGAGACAAAGAATACTCAGATCAAGATACCTGAGGAGACGACAAAGAGCGTCGAGACTACGTATCCAGGCGTTTAGGGTCAAAGCTCGTCAACGAAGAGCAAGACAGCAGCTTTCAGTTCTAAGGAAACAGTTGGTCAATGTGGCGAAGAGGATGGTGTACTACAGGAGATATCGGCAATACAGATATTTGATGATGATGCGAGGCCAGAGGCGACAGCTGATGAAACGAGCGAGTAATGCTCGAGTCCGTTGGTTCCGATATCAGAAACAGCTACAGGAGAACAGACGCAGACAGCGCATGCTCGTGCTCAGGCAACAGCGAGCGAACAAGAGCTTCAGGCAGTTCCAAAGGAAAAAGAGATTGTTGTTTGCGCAACAACAGCAGAAACTGAGAAAGCTCATACAGCGGATGAAGAGTACGCGTCGAGTACGAGGTGCGTATCTTATTTTTTAATGGATTGTTTATTTATTTGGTCAGCTTTTGCCTGGTATTCCTGCGTCACCGACTGAAAGAAAAGTCTTGCGTAACAGAGAAATAGAGGTTTTTCTGAGGTGCCTCTCTTTAGCGAGGTGCCACTGCTTATAACATACTCATATTACCTATCATAGTGCACGACTGAGCTTCACTTTGTTATGTACAAATTGCAGTTGGGAAGAAGAGAGGAGACATTCTCAAGAAAAAGCCCTCGATGACAAGTTTGAATAGCAAGAAAGATAAAGAAGCCAATACTGGTAAGATAATGTAAAGCGACTCCAATGATGAGTTCCGCTCAGGTTGTCGAAACGTCAGTCAACACAATCGACCACAGTCCTACTCAAGACTACCCTCACCCGGATGATCAGACCACGCGATCAAAGACAATAATATTATCACAAATTTAAAAGTCACAGAATGACTTCATTTCGAAACGAAATCTCGGTCCCTCGTATCCAGAACATTTGCCAGTAAATTAAACCGTACGCATGATAGCCCATAACCCACATCATACATTATGGCCTCTCTGTAAGTTGTAGCGAACTTATCCGAGATTAGATCAAACTGAAAGTTGTTGGGACGCGATAACGGACCGGAATTTAGAGAGACAACAGTAAATGAGAAAGTAGAGTCAAGTTAAGTCATGTTTATTTAGGCAGGGTGGCCATTTCAGCAATAGGCTGGTATCAACAAGGGCCCTGATCAGATAATTCCCTAACTACTATACCAATGATTTACCAGACCAAGGGGAAGTAGCTAAGCCACAGGTATTTAGAATTCGTTTATTCTTTCTCCCCTCAGCAGTTCCCAAAGAGTTTCGGTCAGCTGATTTTTTCTGGTCGTTCGAAGATGCATCGGGCGCGTACATATCCCATGATACTGTTCAAAAGCGTCCAGCGCGGCTCATGGGAGGATCACGAGTTGTCCCAGAGACCGGACGGGGTCTGGTGGCCAGCACTAGTAAAGCAAGAGGATGGATCTCTCTCGGAGACTTTACAGGTGATAAGGAGAGAGAAATAATATATCAACCAAAGGAAAATTTTGGATTAAACGCAAAATTTTTATAGCTAAACTTTAAGAAAAATATGACAGATAGTACAGAAAATTGACATTTAGACTGTTTTTCACGTTAAGTGTTATCACTCTATCTCGCCAGGAAAATGCTTCAGCGATCCAGACCAGTGTAGAGATCACGGAATGACAATGATGACTTCGCTTAAACTTGACAAGAAATACTTCCACAAGAAATCCAGCTCGTATTTCTTGTCCAGCGGAGGTCAGACCACCCAGGCCCGAGGCTTTGCTCTCCTTCATATTCTAAACCGCTACATCCTCATACTCAGCACAAAAAATAGCCAGTGGAAGTTGGAAACACGTGACCTTCCAGATGGATGGTTCAACATTGCCTTTTCCTGGGAGAAGAAGGGTTTACTTAAGCTGTATGTAAACGGAAAGGAAGTGTCTAGGGGAGAAGCTATGAGTGTTTCAAGACCGAAGGATTCTTTCTCCACGTTGCAAGTTGGACGACCAAACAATTCTCACTCTCCAAAGTTTAGAGTACCGCTGGAAATGGATAATATTGCTCTCTGGGAGAGAGCTCTCACAAGCAAGGAGATAGGCGCCTTGGCTGATAAGGGTAAGAATCGGGCGTCAAACGTGCAAAATCGTGCCAAAATTATCTTTTAAATTATCTTTATCTTTTTTTTTTTTAATTATCGTTACTGCTATAAATTTTGTGCGTTACAACACGTACATTTTTCTCAGAACTTTTCCATATGCAAGTCGCTAATTTGTTTAATTCTTATCCTCTGTACGAGTTATCGCCATAATTAATCAATAATCAAGCCCACTTTATTTCCTTTCGACTAGATTTGAAGACAACTTCCAAAACAAAGGAAAAGAAAGATTGAAATACAGGTCAAACAATGTTGAAGCAAGGTAAGATAATCATGACTCACAAATAACGAATTGATAACTGGGGTAGAGGATTGCTCCAGAATGAACCAGTAATGTAGAATGCACATGATCGTCTCTAGAAACTTTAAAAAATACTGCTTCTTCAGTGCCATTTTCTTTTTAGTTTTTAGTTAGTCCTCCCCTCTCGCTGAGTTTGAAATCTCTCTCTCTCTTCATCCTCTCGGGTTCAACCGCTGTGCACAATGCAGAATGAAGCATTAAAGAACTGGACTACCAAGGACGTATAATTCAACCAAGACAGCAGAGCATGCGTAGAGTAGAGTCTATGTACGACAATGTTTCTCTATACAGCCAATCTCATTTAAAATCATGCTTACATTTCAGATTCACCGTCACCAAGAGCAGTGAAAAGACGTGTTATTCTCAATACTTCTCAGTACGTTTGATAATATTTTTATTTACTTGCTCATCGTCGCGATGATTCAGTGGGAGGCTGTTAGCCAGATGATGACGAGTTTGTTGCTCCAGTACCGTTCTATTTGCGGACAAATCACCTTGAATCAGGGAACTATAATAACAAATGAAGTGCTATGAAAAATTGAAATCATTCTTGAATCAAAGTAATCGCTATAGTGTATAGCGATTACTTTGCTATAAATCTGATTCTAGCAGTAATGTTATTATATGAGACTTTGTAATCTGGCTACAACAGTTTTTTCATCGGATTCTAAACTTTATTGTATGACGCTTTGTAATCTTGTGACAAAAATTTTATATTTTAGTTTAGCACCACAGTTTTGCTATTCTAATGCTCTACCTAAATTCTACCGCAATTTTTTTTGCATTTGATAAGACTTTTATGGTCTTAATTATTTGAGAAAAATGATAGGCGATTGTTCGCCGGAAATTTGGAACTATATTTGAGCTCAGATTTTAGGGGCAGTTTTACATAGCACTGTGTAATTTTTTAATAATTTTGTGCGGTCAGTTATTGGATGTAGGATTTAGACTGATATTTGACGGACGAAAGCATTATTTTTCTTCTGGTCGCGAAAAAAATCCAGTGGATGGCATTTTGAATCTGTGATTTTTTTGGAGTTATATGACCAAGATTATAGCCGTAGTTGGGTTAGAGTTTGTTTTAGGCCTCGGATGAGTAGGACAGAGATTGTTGAATTATCTAGTTTAGTTCAGTATTACTTGTAGAGAGGTAATTTAAACTCAATAAACAAAAACTAACCATCCAGACGAAATTCTTTTTATGAACTTGATCGTATCAACAGGAAACAAATCTGATCTAGGGACAAATTGTCGACCCAGAAACGTAGCTTGGCAGCCTAGACATATTTTATTCTCCTTGACTGATGCGCAAAAGAAAAGAGCCTTGCAGTTTAGATGAGTGTAAGGTCTTAAAACGAACATGGTCTAAATCTGGTAATAACGAATAGACATCCCCATCCTCTCCCTTACCTCTCAGAGAGCGTTGGTCTCTTATATTATCAATATTGGCCGTAAGGGAAAAGCTGGTGGAAAGTTTGATGGAAAGAGAGATCTTCTGCTCCTCTTCTCTCTCTCTCTCTCCCTCATACTCTGTCCCATGTGTATGCATTCTGTTGGTTGCTTAGCACTGGTTACCATTGGCGACTTTACACTTTCTGCCATGAGTTGTTTCGTTACTTTTTGAGTGGTCCTTTAGATAGCAGAGAGTGTCCTTAGCGTGCGTTTAATTGCCCGTCACACTTTCATGTTTAAAAACCATTATATTAAACCGCACTTTGAACTGCACACGCATTTCAACTTGAACTGAGTGGTGTCTAGTAGAAAACGGGTTTTCTACAGCACCCCCACTATCTTTCAGCCTCTGCACTTAACATGTACCTGCTAACGAGAACACTGAAAATACAATAAATGGCCGACAGCTTTTATCTCCAGTCATAAATTATTACTGGTGCCTGCTCATACCTCCGAACGAACGTAATTTCCTCCAAATTTTATCCACAAAATATTGTTTTCTAATCAAGCCGCCGCTGTTTGTGGATGAAATAATAGTTTAATCGAAATACTGTATTGTTGGCGCTGAAAGTTATGCCGATCTTACTTGATCTTCTCCAAAGGAAAGGTTTGTCTAAAATATATTTTTGTCACTACACTTTCAAAAGCGAGAGGCGAGAATTATGTTTGTATACTGACCCGGTTGTTTAAACTTTGTGACAATATATCCCTCAAACGTATGAATGATCCAAAACATCTTGTCTTAACATTTTGACCAGTCTAAGGAAGAGGAAGCGACCGCAGTAATGGAGGGAAAGCTTGTTTTTCACCTCATAGCCATTGTGATTATGACGGGTAAGTAGATTGTGTCGTGAACAGCTTTGTGTTAATTCCAGTATCTACTCTCTTGCTCTATAAGCTTCAAGCCAAAGCCAGTTATTTGACTACAAAATTTTTTCTTCAATTTCATCTTGACGGAGAAAATGTTCTCGCTGAACCAACTATAATGAACACGTGACGTATTCATTTTTACGAAACAGGCCTTTCTACTCCAAAGGGGGTTAGATCCTTACACATGTACAGCTGTTCGTGGAAATAGGAAATCATTGATAGTCTAAAACGTTTACATCTTTTAGTTGAAATGATAGCGGAGAAGTATCTAAATCTCTTAACGATAAAGCCGCAGTTGTATCGCAGGGAACTACATTGCACTCAACCAAACTGACTTCCATGTCGAAAGAGAAATGGACTAATATCAAAACTGAACGCCGGCTAAACCTAATGGACAAACAGTATCAAATCGAAGGCTATTCAAATTAAATTAGCCCTTTTTTTAATTTACTGTCGTTAGGGTATGTCTGCAGCATGCATCAAGGTCACAAGAGAACTTTGACTTCCTTGGCGGCAGGTGAGACAAGGAGGATGAATTGAATGACCTTTTTTTAATTGGTTATCCAATTTGACATCAAACATACCGCACAGAGTTGTAAGTCTGCCCCCACACTATGATTAATAAGGGAGTGGACACTTAAAAAGGGCGTGGCCCATTAACTAAATTCGAGCACGGAACCACAATTAGTTGAAATATGCATAGTACACGAGTGCCAGAGGTTGAGGATTCAAGCTAATAGCTCTCATCTCTACTCAATGGAATTAAAATGCATTTGGCAGAAAATCTTATCATAACTTGAGGAACGAAGGTTCTAAATTCCGAAATGGGTAACTTTATGAATGAGTAGTAGGAGAAATCTCCTTTCATTTTAAGAAAACGCAGGGATTATTTGAGTCCATCACTAAAAAGTCTAAAAGAAGAAGATTATGCCAGTTTCATGGAGCGGAACACGATGGATGACTTTATGAATGCAATTGAGCTGATAACGTTTATAGTAAAGACAATCACTACCCGGAGATTGATCGTCAAATAGTGGTATTTTGACCGCACAAATAGCATGCATCATGCAGTATGAGACTGGTGTCATAAAATGTCAGAGAGAGTCAAGCACATACGTACATTAGCCAGGCCAAGTAGTACTGATAATAATCCGCCTTCTTCATTTTCCAGAGAAACGAGTAACGGTTTGTTCTAAACGAAAGAGTCCACTCACATGCGAGTCACCTGGATCAGCTATCGCTATAACAGGGGTCTTTTGGGGTCGGGAATCCCCTAATATTTGCCCCTCGGATGACGGCGATCCGGTGACAAACTGTCACACAGCCCCCGAGACGGAACACATCGTCAAGGAAATGTGCGAAGGAATGGGAAGTTGTGTATTGGAAGGAAAAGCCGACAAGCTACAGAAAACAAAGCATTGCTTCGGTGTCTCGAAATATCTCTCGGTGAACTATACTTGTGTGCCTCAGAATAAAGAAGCGATTTTGTGCGACTCGGAGCGATCAATGATTTCCTGCCCGTCTGACTGGCTTCTTAGAATAAATACAGCTTTCTGGGGCCGTGACAGAACTGAAGTTTGTCCATCTGCGAAAGGGCAGGAACTCTGCCCTGGCGCATCAGAGACTGTCTCTAAACTAAGGAGTAGATGTAACAATATTCCTTTCTGCCCTTTGCAAGCGTTTTACAGGGAACTGCAAAATGGCGGCGAAAACTGTCCTCATATCGAGAAGTACCTCGTAGTGAACTACAGTTGTCGACCCAGTCCTGAAATCGGACGGCGCGGTCAGCTCGGCCTTATTCCTCTTTCAGTTTACCGCGGACTTCGAAGCCGATCGCTAATTTGGAAACCATCCCCAATGATAAGGAGGAATAAATTTCGAAAGAAGAGTTTTCGAAGAAAGAAACTTCATTTGTAGGGTGTTAACGTATGTCAAAACGATCAAGTAAAAGTCATGCCAGCAATAGTATTTCCACTTATAGTCCAAGCAGAGCGTACGGAGTATTCTTTGCGGCAGAAGTTTCGGGTTTATCTCGTTACAATACACATATACGTCAATGCAAAAATAAACAATGCCGTCAATTTTATACCAGAGTATAACAGAGTACAACTGCCATTACAACTACCCATTGTAATATAAGAAATAATTTTGTATATAGTAAACACCGTGCACCATTTATATCGGTGGTTTGTTTGTTTGTTCTTTTTTTTTTTTGAAGTGTGCTGTACGCCTTCACAAAATTATGTGTCATATCCCCTTGGCAACCCAAAGAAATAAATGATGGTCTTTCGACTGACCTTATCAGGAGTCCAAACTGTGATTATATTCCGTGATATTGCGCCAAAATAACAAACTGTTTGCAAAGCGAATCTTACCGAAGAGTTGGTTTTTGATCACAACTTTGGATACTCGAAAATTAATAAATAAAATCAGTAAATAAACAGCATATTAAAGGTTTTTATCTGAATCGAAACAAATTCTGGAGTTTGTGCATCCTCTCTTAGATCTTAGGTTACCACCTTACATCTATGCACGCACTAAACGATGTGTAACCCCCACCCTCCCTACCATCAAGGTCTCTACATGAAAATAGACAGGGCGAAGACTGGTGAGAGAAGAAATATTGTACATGGGGCCGCAGAGGCATTATTCTCTTCGATTCTTAACAGGAGGAGTAAATTTTCATGCCATCTTATCCAGCGGAGACTTAGTAAAGCGCAAGGCATTATGAATAATTTGTCAAAGGTCCCAAACCACAGCAACACCAGGATAGGGGATCAAAGGTAACCCATAACCTAGTATTCTTGCGAGTGCTAAGTTCAGAATAATAAGATTTTAACAAGAAAGAACTACAACTAGCGAAACGTTTTGCTGTTATCTGCTCTACATCTCTTAAAGATCCTCGTGAGGTTTCTCTCCTCCGACTTGGGTTGAAAACAGTGGCTAAAAGTCGCTAAGTGGAAATAATTCTCCTGCTTTTCAAGAATCTTCATTTCGAATAATATGACACCGAGTTTAAATAATGCACGAGCGGAAACCCACCCGCAAAAAGCAGAAATTATGAAGTGTATCAAACTGAAATACGAGGAGGTTTCGCTAAAACTTTTAGAATTTGACATGGCTTTTGTTCATGAAAAAGAATTATTAGATCACTGCGGTCCTGTTTCCAACTACGATCCGGATACATCGTGAGTGACGTCATACAATTCCTGCATAATTCACGTTTTCCGCCTGCGGTCACACAAGGATTAAAAAGAAACAAAAAAGGCAACGTGAAAAGGCCCCAACACAAGGTAACTTAGATAGTTTGAACTTACTGCTATTTTCTATTCCTCCCCCTGAATAAGAGGTTGTCATTTTGGAAACAAGACTCGTTGTCATCTTCTCAAAGTAAACCAGGCAAAGAAGAATCTTTTCGTGATAACCTGTCGTTTACAAGGCGTGAATGGTGACTAATGAAACATCGCCGGAACCCTATTTTTTTTTCGCGAAAGGTTTCTGGAGGAATGCTTTTAATCAAATATTGTTACTATAATGTTTTTTTGATACACTTGTTGAACAATAATATTCAAAACTGTTTAGTCTAGTGTTGGTGTTATATAGCTGAGATTTGCCTTTGTTGTTAAATTTCAAGCACGTAATCTTTAACAATGAGTCCTCCTGAGGTTATCTTATTTTTTGATTTGACGCAGAAGTCATAGGCTTTCAGTGAACTTCGCAATTATACTGATTTTCGATACAAACACTTTTAAAACGTCCTTATCTGAACAAACTGGACTAAATTTCACTCTTGACTGATCCAGGTGAAAAAAACAAATTTTGACCTGTTCTCAAATTGTTACCACCCGTTAAGAAAGTTATTCTCCGGTTTGATCTTGTGGTAACATCAAATCACAGGTACAAACACTTTGGCGCCTATTTGACCAATTCTTCGATAAAATCATAAATATTAGTTCTCATATTTTTATTTGCTTTGCTTTTGCAAGGGCAGCGATGGCAAAAAGCCGTTTCATTCACCAAATATTTGCTCTCGTCGCCTTTCTGAACGTAGCATTGGCTTATGTACAAGGTAAGTCTGGTATACCCACATGCTTAGATGTGTGCAAACGCTAAATGTTAGTGGATAAGACACACAAACGCTTTTACTTGCAGTGCACAAATCTGAAAAATGTTTGAAAAGTCGTCCAGTAGTTCAGCCTCTAAAAAGAAATTTTTTTCCTCGCCGTCTACATGCATGTGGAACCAATGTGTCATTCCTTGAATTAGAGTAGGCTCCCACGTCGCCCAAGGAAAAAAAATTTTTTTTCATACATTGGTGATACTGACTTCGCTGCGTTTTTTCCTCTGAGGTGGAGTTCACAATCAAGATGCAGGGGCTGGTTTGAGTCAGATTGACCTCGAAGCTTGTGAGTATCAAGATTCTCATAAAAAGATTAACAACGTGAACATTTGCTTGCAAGAGGACTTGTTCGCTTTTTACTACTTTTTAAGCAAACGGCACCTCAATGTATTAGCACTTAACTATGCTCTCGCGTTAATGGTGACTAATATTTACCATAAATTAAAGAATAAGAGTCAAGAGTAAACTTCCTTTTTGCCAGGCACTTTTGGCGACCCTCAGGGAAGTTTATGGAGCGCACATAAAGATTAATTGTTTGACTTTCTTTTATAAGGTGAACTGTTCGCGTTTTCATAAACTATTTTGGTGAATGGAACACACTCCACACCAGGATTAATGCTTGTGACTGTTTGTTCGCCCATCTTAAAAAGTGCAGCTCTGTGATAAATGATTCTTGCCCAGTTCTATAATTTATTTTGTTTCCAGCCAAGGAAATCACCGTTTGTACAACACAGAGGAAACCGCTGAGCTGCTCATACCCGGGCTCAAACATTGCAGTTACAGGTGTATTCTGGGGTCGCAAGTCTGCTGTGATATGTCCTTCAGATGATGGAGATACAATGCTTGACTGCTTCACTGCACCGGAGTCAGAGGGAATAGTGAAGGGAAGATGTGAAGGAAAAGAATCGTGTGAACTTGAAGCCAGACATGCCTTGCTACAGAACACAGGATCACAACACTGCCCTGGCGTAAATAAATATTTAACTGTCAATTACACGTGTGTGCCTGATGCAAAAGAAGTCGTCATTTGTGATTCTGAAAACTCAAGCCTCACCTGCCCGGCTTCATGGAAGATTGGCGTCAATTCAGTATTCTGGGGACGCCAGTCAACCACTGTCTGTCCAGCAGAGAACGGACAGACCATGTGCACTGGGGCCCCTGAGAGTCTTGGGATTGTGAAGAAGTCATGTGATGGGTTGACCAGGTGTGACGTGCATTCTTCTTATGATCAAGTACAAAATGGCGCCGAAAACTGCCCCGGAGTTCAGAAATACTTGATAATCAACTACAGCTGTAAACCGCATCCAAACATAGGTAGGGTGTGTGAGAGTTGGTAATGCATCTCAGGAAACCGTTTATTACTCATAAACAATCTGTGACTTTTCCAGCATGCTGGATCATGTGGTTCAAAGCACTTATTCGGATTAAAGCTGTGCGGTACCTCGAGGTTACATGCACAGTTTACGAGGAGCGGTTGTAATCGGATTTTGAACAACCCAACCCTGGTGCACGTTGTACCCTGTCTCAGTAACTGTTGATTTTGAATGGTTTCTCTTGCCTAGTCTGTTAAATATGTACGGAATGCTAAGGGAACGCAAAAAGGGGAGTAGTCATGCTCCTTGTCGCTTAATGCCTAGAAAACCGGGATAAGTCCCGGCTGGCTGGGCCACTTGGCTTGAGTACAGACTTAACATCTTTTTTTAATTTTAATCCACATCGTAGGTACGGAAGAGGATGCCATTCAGAATGACCAGGAGGCAGTTCCCATGAAGGTCCCTCCTGCCAAACCCAAATCAGGACTGGCACCAAACGTTGTGAACGATCTTAAACAGCTGGACGGCGGGGGCCAACAGATTGTGAAAATACCAGCTGAAGAGGGGAATAGTGTTGTTGGAGAGAACTTGAATATTGGACGACTGGGCATGGGAGGCCTCAAGGCTCTGGAGAAGATCAACAATCTTATCAAAGCGTCTGCTGAAACGCAAGATGGTGACGATCCTGGGTCGGACAATGGTTTGACAGATGAGCAAGCGCAGGCTATTGAACGTATGATAATTGAAGGAATCCATCATATAAAGAAAAAGCCGTCATTGCCATTGCCTTCTGGTACAGAGAGAGCCTCTATTCCTCGTCAGAAGAACATGCAGAAATCAATTCCCAAGCTACCGCAGGCGGCGAGAAGAAAAGGCGACCCTGTACCACTTCCGACAAAGCTTGTAACTCAAAAGAAAGCAACCAGAGCTCTACCCACTGCAGTACAGGTGGGAGTACCCAGGCTACAGAAAGAAGGGCCTAACGGCAAGGGAACACCGCCAGGTAATCAGGATCAGATGAAAAAAACAGTACCTGGGACTAAAAGGACCTCGCTCAACGAAATAGTCCAAGTTCCAACCAAAAAGAGACCTGTTCCTGTTCTTAAAAACCAGTTCGCGGAACAAAGAAAAAACTCGCAGCCTCAGAAGCTTCGTGGCTTAGGACTTGGAAATGCAGGAGCTGGAAATTCACCTTAACGTATGAAAAATAAAGTCATCGAATCAAAAGGCAAGGCGGAAATCCATCCGAGTTGATATTGCAACGGTTGCCTTAAATTGTTTGTTTGTTCGTTTGTTTGTTTTTTATATAGGAAACCGATCCACCTTTTTGATAGATGCTTAGCGCTAGGATAATTGGCTAAGAGATTTTAGCTGATATTGTAACCGAATACGAGACTCTAGTAAAATAAGCCGAGTTAAAGTAAGTAACACTATTTTTTCACCGACAAAAAAAATTATGCACCCTGGGGTCAAGGGTAGGGTGTAAGATACTAGGTTAATAGATCATGGTTACACGCAGCAAGCATGAAAAACCTTAGGTAAACTTTCACATGAACGACTCAATAACTGCAAACATACCCAAACGAACTGAATACAGCTTTTACGCTTTCCGAGTGAACTCTATTACCTAACTTAATGATGCTCAAATGTTTTCAATAAAGAACACAGTGAAACCATCAGTTTTGGTTTTTCCTCCTAAGGAAAATTTTCAACGGTCATTCTAATTCCTTTGTTCCTTCCTCTTGTATCAGACCATTTCCTAGAATCTTATGTCTCCTTTCACAGGTTTTTTCACATCTCTGTTTTTTTGTCTTTTTGGTTAACGCAACATGAAGATTTAACGTGGTGCAAAATCTACCTGAAGCTGCAGAAATGCTGATTTGCTTTCCCAACAAAATGTAGCACGGAGTGAAATATAAAAAAAAACGTATTCAGGGTCAGCCAGCACAACTAGACGAGGTTAATGCAGCCCAAAGGGGTTGAAAAACTCCTCTTCGCAACACAGTGAGTGAAGAGAAATTGTTATCTCCGGCAAAAACTGAAACGTAGTAAGCGCGTGTATCTACAGAATTGTTTTCCATACTTTTCTCAATCGTCCTCATAGTGCGCGCAACACAGGGTTGCGTTGGGGTAGAAAGGGTTGACGTGTGATTTTCCTGACTTAATGGGAGGCACACTTATGAACTCAATGTAAACAAGTCTTTTACGTTAATTCTATCATAAATCGACTCAAACGTGGACATGCGTATAAAAAACAATAAGTACTCGACGCTTCCGAGTTCGCGGCCTACGTCTTCAACGCTCTATTGTCTTTCTCAACAGTGCGCGCTCTATGGAAAATTAACTCGCGCACCTGCAAAGTTTTGCCGTTCGACTTTTAGTGCCCTTTTTAATAGGAGAAAAGCGTTAGCGAAACAGTGATCATGGCCCAGTTCCAAAGTGGTAATTGTAGTAAGATGTCGATCATTCTACCAAGAATTCAAATGCAATTTTTTAAACAACTGATTAGTTTTTTCACGAACAAAAAGGCCAGTTTAGAAATGCGACAAACCGGTTCAACATATTTATATGTCCTGGAATTATGAACTGAATTAAGTTTTTTTTTTTTTCCGGTAAAACTCCAGCTTCAGATAGTTTACCAGGTTATTGTTCCACAACTGTCTGAGTTAACTCCAGTCTCAGCAGTAATGGTGTATTTTGAGGTCTCTGAAGGTTCTTTGGTATTATGACACACACCCATACGCCTCCACTGTGACACTTCAAAACCACAAGCACGATGACTATCAACCCGCTTCCCTCGATTCTCAAACATTTCAAAATTAACCTTCCCGCTCCACCCCCGTGGGGATAAACTGGGCCAAGACACTTCTTAATCCAGAGCCTAACAAACTAAGCACCAGGCCTTTGTATTTCCCAAAATATTGAAACGGTTCTCGTAGTTCCAAGAGAGATATCTCTTAGAGGTCTTAGTGAGCCTGACGTAAGACTTACAGATACAACCAACATGCATGAAATCAAACAAATTCCTTTTCTAGACAAATAAATACAGTGCTAACCAACAGTTTGGCAAATGAAATAGAAACAACTTTCTGATCCGTTGAAAACATTTAAAACGGAATACAAAGTGTTCATAAATATTTAAAAGCAAACTGCGACATACTGACTTTTTCAGTTTGTGAGCAAGGTGACCTCCAACTGGTGCCTGGGTCAGCAAAATGCATAGTCTACGGTTCACTTAATGGCTTTAAAATCGACTGAGGATATGATAAAATCGGTGTGGAAAACAAACCATATTTTGCGGAGAAAAACCCAACGGAAGATGTAATAGAATGTTGTCTAAGAATGAAGAAATACTTGGTAACTTTCGTGTGGCTTTTGTCTTCTTTGTTTATCGATAGGGTGGAATCGACTGGTACTTTGGACCAATTATCAGGTAGGATAAAGACCTAATTCTGTCATAGTATAGTTTAGGCTACCAAAATAACAATACCAATGTTTGTGCAAATATTCAAAATCTTTAATTACTTTCACATAAACGCTTCTTGTAGAAATGCTCTAGTGAAATGAGAAAGCGTTAAATGGACCGAAAACATTGCGAATCGTGTTTTTTTTGTATAGTGTTGGATGGTTAGTCTGTTCAAGCGTTCCATCAAAGGCTTATATTCCCTGATATACGATTTTTAAGCGGTCATGTTACCGTTCGGTCGGACCAAACCGGGCTAACGGGCCAGACGTAACCATGTCACAGACCTTTCGGGTCTTAGTTTTTAGGTCTTCGTTTTCAAGTCTTCGTTTTCGGATCTTGGTTTGAGAGCTTACATGATAGAGGTACTTAAAGGTGTTACGAGACAATGAATGCAACTGTTTGTAAATATATGTAAGCGATAGAAATGGTCAAATTTCGAAATTTATTATTTTCGTACAGGAAATATGCCTTTCCATTACAGTATGTCAATTTTCTTTGAGATCTCACAAGTATTAACCTGCAAAGAAAAGTACCCTCTTTGGCTTTTTAGTTTGAAATGAAGTTGACAGAAAATACAAGTTTAAGAAAAAACAGAAGTATTGGGAAGATTTTTTATGGGAATTATTCAGTAAGTTTCTTTTTGTTAATTATCCGTTACTGTATCAATCTGCAGTTCGAACAGCAACCCCAGGTTCATCAGGGAGCCCAAGAAGCGAAATTGATTTGGAAACAGGTGAGATGCTGGTTGAATAGATCGCTACATATCGATAAAGATGCATGCGAATACGAGTACAATTTTAATCTGGCAAGTGCAGTATGTTATATCATAGTTTTTGTTCAAGAATTACTCAAGCTGGCCTGGCCATTGAGAAAGACACCATACTCTTGCGCTGCCTCCCTCAGCGTAAAAATCGGATCCAGAAAATCCACGAGTATCAGAAAATTATCGATGGAACCACATAAATGTTTGCGTCTGACTTAAGTTAAAACCTGCAGGAAGACAGAAGGACAGAAGGGGTGGGGGAGTGGAACATGCGTTGCCATCACTGAATAAGTTTAACGAACCAATCTATGGGTAAATTTGAAGCATGTCTGAACCAGAATATTTGCGAGCAGAAGCATTTTCTGCATGAAACATTAACTGTCCGGTTTAACTTGTTTCTATCTTAGATAAGTCTGTCATTATTTGTGCTGGTCAGAACAAGTCATTGGAATGTTTCTCTCCTGGATCAACCATCGCTATAGAGGAAGCTTTCTGGGGACGCTTGTCAGCCGAAATATGCCCTTCGGAGGACGGAGACCCTGTCACGAACTGCCTCAGTGATCCCACCACCACACCTATCGTAAGGAATCTGTGCGATGATAAGGAATACTGCGAGATACCCGCCCGGCACAACGTTCTACAGCCCCCAGGGGTTAAACACTGCCCTGGTGTAAATAAATATTTGGCTGTTAAGTATACATGTATGCCTGAAAAACGAAAATTTGTGCTGTGCAACGGTGAGACAACTGAGCTTCAGTGCGGTCAGGGATGGAAGATACATATCATGTCAGCCTACTGGGGTAGAGATTCGCCTTCTACTTGCCCTACTCCCCTGGGGAAGTTCTTCACCTGCGCAAACTCAGCAAGCAGCATTTTAGCTTTGAAGGAGAGATGTTCTGGAAGGGAGAGTTGCATTGTAACGGCAGATGATAAACATCTCACTAAAGATGGAAACCACTGTCCAGGGATTGACAAGTATGCTCTGATCAGCTACAGATGCCAGCCACCTAGTGATGTCGTGGGTAAGTAAGCTGAGCCAAAGTTGATATTAAGCAATGAAAATTTTTTTCATCTGGCGTTTTTCCTCCCTCGAGGACTGAGGTGTGAATCCTCGTGAGGTCTCTTATCTTTTCATCAAGAGAATGCTTTTTATTGACCCACGCCAGTGATTAGTAAAAACAGCTTATCTTTCCTAATTCGAAGACGGAGATACTATTACACCATCGCTCTTCAACTAATTAGGCTTTCAACTTTGCTGATCCGAACTGTGGGCAGGACGCTTGTAACATATGAACCTAGTGGTTGGACCAGAGGTCCTAAGCTCGTTTTATGACAATTGATTAAGACATCTTTCTGTACATTTTGTTATCTTAGCAGATCTGCCCAACTCAGATGGCGAAAAGCAGCTGCTTGAAGCATCACAACAGGACACAGTCAGACCTCTACACTCCTTGCTTCATCTGACACCAAATGCGAAGACTCCATTCCCCGCTCAGAGAGTTGGTGAACTTAACTTAAGCATGTTGCTTCCAGTTCCTCAGTACAATCATTCTGATCAGCTAAAACCAATTTTCGATTTTCTCGGAGGACAAAGTGACGGAAAGAGTAAATCATCGCTCGGAGAAAATCTTCCTGTTCCAAAAGATTCCCGGCCGCTTTTGTCAAACAAAAAGGACACCTCAACTTCAGCAGCTCAAGGTGGCATTGGAGCTTCTTCACTCGCGAAACACAAGGGTATAACACTATCAAGAAAGCTGCCTGTGGCTAACCTCGCTTTGAACTCTGAACCGGGCGTGGGTAATAGCCAGGAGTCTCCCACAAAAAAACCTGAGGTTATCTCACGTGTAAATCCAACTTCCTCCATGAAGTCAGTATCATCTAATGACGCGAACGTTCACGATGTCCTAAATGCGATATCGCCTTTGTCTAAAAATTCCCCTTCACAAACACCTTTAGAGTCTTCAATGAAACAATCACTAAACCCGCAAGTCTCTACTTCAATAGAGCCATTTGAGAGCCTTATAAAAACTTTTTTGACGAGCAAATTTGGACAAACGTTGTCGAAAAGTCTACTTGACTCAGGTAGAACCGAGGATTCTTCATACAAAAACATAATGGCGCAGCATTTTGGCTCTGCTGTTCAAGCAAGCCCACCTTCAGTCAATAAGACACCAACAAACGAACACATGATCGCAAATCTCCTATCCAGCCTGATACATCAATCGTCAGGCCATGGACCAGCAAGCATTTCTGCCGCAAACAAGGACAATGAACAGATAGCCACTAAGGGTAACGACAAAATGTCCTCTGCGACGATTTCTATAGGAAATAAAGAATTTTCATTGGCTGATTTATCCAAAGCGTTAAACAACGATCAGGAGGCTCCAAATGAATTACAAGGTACAAAAACAGAAGTTCAGTCATCAAAAGAGAGTCACAAGCAGCGAACCAAAGAGAAAATTAGGAAGCTAAATGAAAAGATTGCCACACTAGAAACTCTAAGCGACGCATTGGATGCTTTAACAACGCGACTATCGCCAGAGGAAAGCCAAGGAGAAAACAAGCAGGAAGAAATCTCGCCCAGCTCAGAGGAACCAGTCTCTTCAGGGCGAGACAGACGTAGAAAGCATCATACGCATCATCGTCGTCATCATCAAAGTTATGAGTTCACGCAAGACATGAATATGATAGGATCCCTCTTAGGTTGGGATACACCCGATACAGAGGTAGAGAAGGAAACTCCTCTCGTTCGAAAAAAGGATGAGGATTCGAACTCAATTGAGGGGATAAATGGGAATAAAGGGTTAAGTTCAAAAGACTTACAAACTTTGCAAAGCAAGATAAATCAGGCGATAGAGCTGGCTGAAACTGCAGGAAGAAAGAACGATTCTAAGAGGCCAACTCCATCCGCGTTGTTACCGCTCCTTTTATCGGGAAAGTTAGATGAAGATGTTGGGGCACAAACACGAGAAGAAGTAGCAACCATTCATTCCAGCCAAGGATCATCAAAAGGATTTCTTCCAGCCACGGACAAGGAGCTGCAAGCGTTGCAAGATATTTTAACTAGGCTGATTGACAACGCCATGAGAAAGGGTACATTGAAGCAGTTAGTGAAACGATGGGATAAGAGTGGAGGTCCGTTTGCAGACATTGCAAGAAACATATCAGAATATTTAAAGGGAAACAGCAAAATGAAAAGACCAGTTACACTGCTGGGAGTTGCAAAAAACTTTGCCGGTAAAGGTGCAACAGTTCCAAGTAATTTGACTTCCCAGTTGTCAAAAGGCGCTGCGGGTCAAAACAGTAGATTTAACGATATCAAAACGTCTGCTCTTTTTACTGAAGCTGTGAACGAACTGCTTGGAGCACTTTCGAAGCGCCATGGACTACACAGAAGAAATTCCACGAACCGTTCGTCATTTGTGTCAACTAATACTCTCGTTAACTTTAAAGGAGTACTTCTTGGAGGGCGCATTAACAAGCTCCCACCCCCAGAAGATCCGCTAGCTGTCATGGAAAGTAAGGTCCTTGCAGAAATCTTGAGCGGAAAACAAAACAAAACGCTCGTCAAAAATTCTTCTGGAGCTAACAAAGCACTGAATAAAGATAGCAGCAGAATTGACCTGACGCACAATAATCACACACAACTGGTTCAACATCCTTTAGGTGAACAGAGTAAACAAAAACTCTCCTTCTCAAGCTATGAAAAAAAGAATGTATCTAAAAGCATTCGGAATAACACCTTAATGGATTTCATGAACAGTATGGAGATATCTGAGAGAGCTAAAAGCCTTCCAAAGAATGCTAAACCTGGTAATAAACATTCTAAAGTGAGTCCTCATATCGATGATTTGATGACGGTGATTGCAGCAAGTCTATTAGATCTTAATGAGGTCAAAGAGGGGAACTCTTCAAAACACAAGCCATTAATAAAATACGACGAAAGTGGTATTGATAAATTTCCAAATGACCATAAGATAAGCGACTTTTCTAGTGGAGACGCTATACTGCAAGCACCCACAGATCACTCAGCAAATGTTACCAGCAATACCAGCAGCAGTAATCGATCCAGTGAGCTGAATAAGTCTACGAAATTGCCTATTAAAGTTACTTTGCAACAGAATAATACGAAAGACGTTTTACCCAATGAAAAAGCCAAAGTTACAGCTGGAGGAACCCAGAAAATTGACTCCGGTGATCAGACAGTAACGTTAACTTTGGAAACGTTAGATGACGTTCCCACGCCCTCCCAGCCACCCGATGAAACGTCAACGATACAAACCGGATTACGTAATAACAAAGTGCCACATTACCTCAACGTTCAATCAGTGGTAACACTAGGTAAAATAAACGCCACTCATGCGAAAGATAAAGAGCATTCCTTTACACAAAGAATAATCAAAGAGGAACCAAAGGTGGAATCTGATTTTACCGCAGACACAAGGAAGCCTGAAGTAGCTTTGCCATCAGATGATGACGGAAAATTAACGACCATCTCGGCTTCCCCTGAGTTAAATCCTGAAACTGAGGAAAATACCCAGAAGCCCTCAAACCCAGATCTTCCCCTAAATTTGCAAATGAATGCCATAGGTAGAATAGCAGGAAATACTGACCAGTCATCCTTCACACCCGCTGATCTATCTGCTGCCTTGACGTCGATTCCAGAGCTCTCCACTGGATCCTTGGCCTCTAACAATGGCGAGACAAAATCTTTCGAAGACAAAGTTTTACCAATAGCCTCAGATTTAACACTTTCAACCGATTCTAAAAGTAGAGAAACCGAGAGTATCGTTTCAAAAGTGTCACCTTCTAATGATTACAATTCTAGCCTTAACAAACCAAGTTCTACTACTATCACACAAGGAGGCGACACCACACCAACTGCGGCTGAAATACGAGAAATATCAACCTCAATCAAGGCTTTGTTGAAAGTTCTGAACACCTATTCAAAGAAGTTAAGACTTGAGGGCGATCAAGGCGAAGAAGCTTCACCGAAGGGCACACTCCCTACAAGTAGCAGCACAGTCAGTAAAATGAACACTAGTGGTACAAAAGTAAAGGAAGAGGAGCTGAAAAAACCTTGGAAAACAGAGCTTCCCGCAACAAAGTATACCAACAACGTATATGCAAGCTTTCCTGTCTCATCACCGACACTACCCAAATATGCTGATAGTGGCGTGTTCGAAAATATTCAGGAACAGCCACGTACAGAAGCAAGTAACTTCAATTGGAATCCAGCACAAGAGCGCATGCGTGCCCAATTACCTTTCGACGTGAGCCCCACGAAGACAAGCTTGGAGCCTCAAATGGGTGCTGAACAGTGGAGGCCTGGGAACGAAATGAATACCATCGGTGAAGAGCTTAAAGAGTTGAATTTACCTTCCATTGAGGATGACCCCACAGTGCGAGCAGTTCAAAAAATGGTTGCAGACGAAAATGCGTTGATAAGCCAGAAACGAAAAGCGATTCAAAGGGTCAAGCCTCAGGTTTCTAGTACGGCTAAGAGTCAACCGCCAGGTAGGCTAGGAGTGTTCAGTCGCAATAAAATACCGAAACACAGAGGTCATCCAAGAAATAGTTCACTCGTGGAAGGTAAAAAGAACCACAAGAAATTTCCTTCTTTGGATCAAAGTAACAAGAAAATGAAGAAGGATGCAAGAGGCAGGAACATCATTGCAAAGCTGAGCAACGACACGAGTTCTCACCACAACACATCGATTGTTGGTAACATAACAACCCCCCTACCTACCCCACAAAGGAATGTAACCCACCAAAATGATAAAAAATTCTACATTAAAAAAGTGATACGGAAAAACACACACTATACCAAGACAATGAGGAACAGAGACGAAATACCCGGCGAACCCGTCAATACACATGGACTTAACGATTCTGCGTATGAATTGCAAGACAAGTGGAATATTCAGAAAGGGCCGGTTCACACAAACATAACCTCTGCTGGAGTGTCTGCGGCTCTGAAAAGTACCAAGCACGGAAAACGAAAAGGGAAAACTTCCGCTGACGAAAAAAGTTATGACGGATCACACCGCACTAATGCCATCAGTAATGTAAAAAGTGTCAAGAAAATCGCAAAAGGAAAACTAAACATCGCTGTCATTAAAGGAATCGCCCCAAATATAAATGGAACTGTGTTAAAACAGAACCACGATAAACCATCAAACGTCACAAGCAAAATAAACTAGCGACTTAAACTTTAAATCCTTGCACGAGAGATCAGCCGGGTTACGTCATAAATGCATACTAGGTTAGCCCTTTAACCCCTAAGAGCGCTTGAATTCTAGTTTCTCCTTACAGTATCAGCCTTAAATCAAATGTAAAGTTAATGAGAATAAAGAAACTAATAACAAATTTAAGAAGGTCCCGATCGTTGAACAATTCGTGTTGTCAGTACCATAGGAAAAGTAAAGAGAACAGATTGGAGAATTTGGATAGCAATATTAAGGTGTAATTTTAAGGGTGAAACAAAATAGATTTCTTGGACTATGGTGATGTTACAGATGTAATGCGTTATCTGCATGAATGAGCTCCATGCTCAGCAATAAGTATTTTATTTAAAGCGTAGAGTTGATGCTTCAATCAAACGCATTTTGTAAAAAGATGATTGGGAAAAAAAAGCTGCGTCGAAGTCCCATGACTAATTTTAGTTGTAGAAATAAAAATTAATAAAAGTATCACCCATTCAACCGACGCAACTGACCTCAGAATAATTGAACGCGCACTGTGTCGAAAACTCAGCTGAATAAAATCTAAATCTTTTCTCAATGAACCGATCACCAGAATTAAACATGAAGGAATAAAGAAACCACCATAGTATTCACTATATCGGTATACGATAAAATCTTACAAAATAAGAGATAGGTCATCGACCTCTTTGGTTTCAGTTTGGTAACGATGAAATCAATTGTACTGTATAGTGTGTCAATCATGCGACAATTTCGGGTAAGGTCAATTGGATGCCATGACGATAAATTGTCAAAGTTATGAAAGTAGGAGAGTTGTTCACTAATTGAGAAATTAAGGGCAAGGAAGTATGACAAAAGGAAGCCATAGGTAGTACGATGGGTTTTAGTTTTTTTTTTAAAGCAGAAATATGTACGCTTAAGTTCCTCCAGTGAAATTATTCATTGATCTATTCATTTCATTTAAAAATTGTCACCAAACCAAGATGTTTTATATGTATTTATAATCACACCTGTAAAAGTTGGCGGCAATACTATGAAAATTATGTGCTACTGCGCGATTATGAGGTGACGAAGCAACTGTATAAACAGAATATTGTGAAAACCAAACGGATAAAAAAATCAACATTCTCATTGAGTCTTGGGTAGGAGTCGAATGCGTTTAACATGAAATTTATATATAGCTGTTTTTTGCTTTGAAAAAGACACAAACTCTCTATATTCTCCGGTTCAAAATACAGTGAAATGTTTAAAAGAATGATATAATCATATATCAAACGACAACGGGTACAACAGCAAAAACTGTTTAAATTCTACAACAGTCAATATTCTATGGTAATTACGGTCTGCGGTCTGGTTATAAGAATATTCGAGAAAGTAAAATGGAATTTACACGTATTTCACTCGCCAAATTCAGTACACAAGAAGGAAGCTGTAATCAGTTCGAATCTTCCTGATTTGCTGATGATAATTTAGCTTCCGTTTAAGTAATACTAGAGGTACATAAGTTTAATAAAAATCCAATCAGAGAAAAAATGTCATGGTTGGCTGCTATTTACAAAGCTTTATTTGCACATCAGAATTATTAATTTTTTGACGCGGCAATGAAATAGCGATCGATGTATGTAAAGTAAACCTTCCATTGAAACATATTTAAGACTGATGATTTTGCATCGTTGAGAAGCTGAGATAAAATAACGGCTGTGATCTAAACCAGAAGTTGTTATTTACTGATCATTTAAAATCTTAAACGGGGTGAGCGACTTTTATTTGCCGACTGTCACGTGTCAATAAGGAAAGCGACCACCATAGCACAAAAAAAATGGCGGCCGTCAACTATGTTTTCATAATAATAGTAATTGTAAGTTCTTCCTACATTACTGGAACTAAATCTGGAGGATTTTGCGATGTTCGGAGGAAGAGAATTGTCTCGTCTTTAGTACACGAAGGCTACATTCATAACGAAGATCTGAAATGTTTGCTACGATCTCTCGTGTATCAACATCGCAACATCGCCCGTCTACACAGAATTGGCAAATCAGTGTACAATCGTGAATTGCTCGCCATTCAAATAACTGAAAATCCACGGATAAGGAAGCCAGGAAAACCGATGTTCAAATATGTCGGAAACATGCACGGAAATGAAGCAGTGGGCAGACAAGTGCTGATTTATCTCATTGCTTACCTACTCGAAAATTATGGTCAAAACGATCGAGTCACTAAGTTGATTAACAACACTGATATATTTATTATGCCTTCAATGAACCCGGATGGCTTTGAAAAAGCAATAGAAGGTATTTGCCTTGGTGAAATTGGACGTCCTAATCGTAACGGTGTCGATTTAAATCGTAATTTTCCCGATCAGTTCAATAATTGGAACGACTACAATGTCAGATCAGCCCAACCGGAAACAAAAGCCATGTTGAAGTGGATTCTGGAAACTCCTTTCGTATTGTCGGCGAATTTACACGGTGGGTCCCTTGTAGCAAGCTATCCATATGATAGCAATAAAGAACACATAAGGTCTGGTGGATACAGTGCATCACCGGATGATAATCTCTTCAGACATTTAGCTAGCGTTTATGCCACGAAACACCCGACAATGGGTAAAATGGGGAAAAGAGACTGCACCCGTGGCCAGTTTACAGGGGGTATTACTAACGGTGCCTACTGGTATGATGTCTCGGGTGGCATGCAAGACGTCAACTACCTGATTAGCAATTGCTTTGAAATCACACTTGAATTATCCTGTTGTAAATATCCATCCAAAAGCCATTTGCCAAGAGAGTGGAATAACAATCGTGAGGCGTTGTTGGCATACATAGAACAAGTGCATAGAGGAATCAAAGGGTTTGTCAAAGATCAACATGGGGTTGGTATCCAAAATGCAGTGGTTCATGTGCATGGAATAGATCATAACGTAACAACAGCGTTGCATGGTGACTTCTGGCGTCTTTTGTTGCCAGGGGTGTATACAGTCAGTGTTTATGCTTCAGGACACAATTGCCAAACACTGAGTAATGTTAGTGTTAGCTCTGAGGAAGCTACACCATTAGAATTTGTGTTAGAGAGAAATGAAAATCAGAGAGATACCCCTTTCCGTCATGTACCATGGCTCACAGAACGGTTCTTTAGAACCAGGAGAGATCTGTCTTCCAGCTCTCAACTTGCTAACCATAAAGTTGAAGTTCCCTTCACAAGTATCAGCCTTACCAGTAAAGATTACACTCAAGTTGTTAATGACTGGGAGAAACCAAGGATATTCAAAAACCATAATTTTCATGACATGACAACATTTCTACAGACAATAGTAAAGTTGTATCCAAATATCACCAAGCTGTACTCAGTTGGAAAGTCAGTGCAAGGAAGGGAGTTGTGGGTGATTGAAATTACTGACAACCCAGGAATTCATGAACCAGGAGAACCAGAGTTTAAGTACGTTGGAAACATGCATGGTGACGAGGTTGTTGGAAGAGAAACCCTTTTGCTTTTAATTCAAGCTCTTTGTGAGAACTACGGCAAAGTACCTGCGATAACAGCACTTGTAGATTACACTCGCATCCATATCATGCCCTCAATGAACCCTGATGGATATGAGCGAGATACTCGTGAAAATGCCAAAAATGTTGATCTAAACAGAAACTTTCCAGACCAGTTTTGGCCATATATGAATAGGATTCACCAGCCAGAAACTTCTGCTGTCATGAAATGGATAACTTCCATGCCATTTGTGCTGTCAGCAAATCTTCACGGGGGCTCCATTGTAGCAAACTATCCATATGACGATTCACCTGGCAAACAAAAAAGTTCATACAGCAGGAGCCCAGATGATGCTGTCTTCCGACAGTTAGCATTGTCCTACTCCAAGGCACACCCTACTATGGGAGGAGGACGGCCCTGTTCTGATTACCCGGATGAATATTTCAAAGATGGTATTACTAATGGGGCAGAATGGTACAGTGTTATAGGTGGAATGCAAGACTACAACTATGTACACTCAAACTGCTTTGAAATTACCATAGAGATGAGTTGTGTGAAGTTTCCTCCTGAGTCTAAACTCAAATCCTATTGGGATGCCCATAAAGTGTCTCTTTTGACATTTATGTCTCAGGTCCACACTGGTGTGAAAGGCTTCATAAAAAATGAGCAAGGGGTTGGAATTTCCCATGCCACCATTTCTCTTTCTGGAATAAGACATAACATCAGCTCTGCCAATGATGGTGACTACTGGAGACTCCTAGTTCCAGGGAGCTACATTATTACTGCCTCTGCTGCAGGTTACATTTCTTCTACCCAAAGTGTTGTTGTTCCTTCTGGTCTAGCTACAGAACTAAATTTTGTATTGAGACAGGTTGGACAGCCCTCAATTGCCACAGAGAAGATACCCCTCCAAAGTTTCACTACACAAAAACTTTATCCTGTGGAAACAAATACAACCCCTCAAGAAACAGCTTTTTCCCAACAAACCTCTGTACCTCAGCCAACTTCGAGTTCTGTTGCCTCAAGTCCTGCGGAAATAAAATCAACTGTTAAAGTCCTGGTCCCTTCTCCATCAGTAGGTAGGTTGAATTTAATTTTATCTAGTATGTTTAAGTTTACACCTCTTAGAAACAAAAAAAACCGGTTTATTTCTGTCTATATGCCAAAAAATGGTTGGAAAATAATTAAATTGTCAAGAGGTGATTTATCTCTTTGGCTGCTTGGAGTTGAATAGCACTCGTAATCACTTCCAAACCGCCAATCGGCCTGCAATAAAAGCACTATTCACCTGTGTGGTATATACTAATTTTCAATATTCGTGTAAAATAAACAAATTTCTCATAGTGGAAAGATAGCAAGTATGGGTAGTTTAAGGATACTTCTCTCAGAAATCTGGGACTCTTTTTTTTTTCTAAACAAACTTTAGGGTATAATTGAAACCACTATAATAACCCTGGAGCCCTAAGAGTGACTAGCATCTTGTTTCTCTTACAATGTCACCCTCAAGCACTCATTAAGGCCAGGAGAAAAAGGGAATAATCACCACCTAAAGAAGCTCTTGATTGTTAAACAAATTCTCCTTGTCAGCACCTTAGGAAATGCATAGGTTACAGTATGGAGAATATGCATACTGATGTTAGGATGGAAAGGGTTTAAGATACATCATATTGAACATGAGCTACACAAAAGAACAAAAAATAAGAGAGCACAAGAACAATGTAAGAAGTCTCACTAGTATGGATTAACCCTTTAACTCCCAGAAGTGATTAACATAAAACTTCTCCCTACAATATCCATACATTCTTCAGCAAACAGGCAATGAGAATATTCAAACTTATCAGGTAGAAGCTGCTGTATTGATCTAGCACCAAGTTCTCATAAATAATTTACAAGGAAATGTGTAGCAGCTACAGGGGAGAATTAACAATCAGATCTTGGGAGTTAAAGGGTTAAGAGTCCTTATGGTAGCTTTTCCATCTAGGAATGTTAGAAATTAAAGAATATTTATTTTATGGAAAGCCCATGAAATACAAGAGGACAAATAGAAAGTTTTACCTTCCTGTTTAGGATTAAAAAAAGTACCAAAATGCTCTTATATCATTAACCCACATACTCTAATGTCATTTTGGATAAGATACAAACCAGTTTTTTTTTCATATTTCCTTCATCAGATTTGTCAGTGAATTACTCTCAACACAATTACCAACAGCTGACATCTTTTCTTAAAGAGCAAGCTAACAAGTGTTCTAGCATAACCAAGCTGACAACTATTGGAACTAGCCGTGAAGGGAGGGAAATCTATTCGTTGGTAATGACAGTGATGTCTGCACACGAAGAGGGTAAAGCTCATGTTGGACTTGTTGGTAGTTTACAAGGAACTGACATAACTGGGAAAGAGCTTCTTCTTAAAATGATTGAGTACCTTTGCAACAAATATCAAGGAAAGGACGATAGTGTCACCAAACTTCTTCAGAACACAGTTCTTTACATTGTTCCAGCAGTAGATCTTGATGGAAATGAAAAGGCAAGAGAGGGTGATTGTAGTGGAATAATGGAACCTAAAGATGACTTATCAAGAAGTTTTTATTTCAACCTAACTCAGAGCAAGCAGAGTACACTGCCAAAGAATATTGAAGAGGTGAGATGTGGTGATTTTTACTTAGATGTTTTATTCTTAATGTTGACAGTAGTGAGTGGCATCAAAGGGGAAAGGAAAATTAGTTGCAACCAGAGCATGGTGGAATACAAGTAAACCTTGCTCTTGGGATCTTTCTCTTCCTCCAGCCACCAGGAGGTTGAAAGAGGAGGAATCATTCGATTTAGGCTGGTGATAAAGAGGCTTGTAAGAGCTTCAGCTGTGAAAAAACTGTTCCCTTCTCCCTGCTACCATCTCTATAAGAATGGAAGCAGCATAGGATAGTGTTTGTTTGCCTATCAGTTTCTTGAATGTCAGGTTAAGATCTCAAGATTAGCCAACAAACTTTTCCTGTTGCTTAGATCTGTGGTTAAAAGTGGAAGGATTTTTAAGACAAAAATTTAAAGTGATACCTAGAATGTTTCTTTTATTCTAGTTTCTTCGGTCAGCCGCTGATGAACCTCAGGAAGTTAAACATTTGAAAAAGTGGATGAACGAGCATAACTTTGTACTTCTGGCTGACTTTAGTGGAGGTGAATTGGTGGCAAGGTGAGGAGTGCAAAATTGTTTCTTTTGTTTTGCGGGAATAAATCTTATTTCATGATTATCTTATTTCTTATATTCTTATATAAGAATAACACTTTTTTATCGTACAACAACTTGAAGTGTCATTCTGCCATTTCTTTCGTCCAATCAGTTCAGACAAACGAGACAAGCGCGAAGCGAGCGCAACGGGTGACTCAAGCGCAAGTGGAGAAGACTGGAAACAAATACGTCCACAGGGAAACCAGACTTTTTTTGTCACGCTTCTCGCCTAGCGCGTTCTCACCCCCGTGCTTGTCCGACACTTACTGCCGCTTGTCTGAAAAACGTAATCGATGACGCCTATCCCGTGGGCAACTTGAAATCGAGTTCCATCCTTTGCCTAAATATAATCTTCCACTTCATTTCACAGGTATCCTATGAGCGTCCATACCTCCCACAGTGAATATGTGAAAGGTTCGGTGACAACAGATGACAAGTTATTTAAAGAGCTTGCTCTTAGCTATTCCACGAAGCATCCCACAATGCCATATGGAAGCAATTGTAATGAATCTGCCGCTGGGTTTCCAAATGGAATAGTGAATGGGGCACAGTGGAAAGAGGCTTATTACACCATGCAGGACTACGCCTATTTGAGTCTGGGCATTCCACAACTCTCGTTCTTCATTTCCTGTTGCAAGTACCCACCGCTCAAAGAACTAGATAGTATTTGGGAGGCAAATCGTCAGGCGCTGTTAGGCTTTTTAGAAAAAGCTCATCAAGGAGTACAAGGTGCTATTCACAACCTAGATCACCGTCCGATAAATGACACCACAGTCACAATAAGGAGCCCAAACGCAGACATTGTCCTCAAACAAAATGGAGCAAAATTCTATCGACCTCTTGCCAATGGGAAGTATAAGATCACTGTGAATGCACTGGGTTATTCAAGTGCTACCAAAGAGGTGACGATCAGTGAAGGTTTAAGAGCAAACATCATGTTTAATTTGCATAAAATACCACGATTTTTCCATCATAAATATGCCGCCATGGAGAAGTTTCTTCGAAACATATCGTCCACATGTCCAGGCATCACAAGGCTGTACAGCATTGGACAAACTGTTCAGTTCCGCAATATCTGGGTCATGGAGATCTCGGATAACCCTGGAGTTCATGAACCAGGGGAGCCAGAGTTTAGCTATGTGGGTGGCGTCCATGGTAATGAAGTAGTTGGTAAAGAGATGCTGATGATGATGATTCAGCATCTGTGTTTGAGTTACGGTAAAGATGACTTGGTCACGCGATTGGTAAACAGCACTAGAATACATATCTTGCCTGCCCTGAACTCAGATGGATACGAGCTGGCCTCCGAAGGAGACTGTTCATCGGACAAGGGAAGGAATAATGCTAGAGACGTGGATATCAACGCTGATTTTCCGGGTATGTTCTCGTCTTTGAATTCAAAATAATCTCATTAAGGAGCATTTGATGAATCGTTTCTTGTCCAAGGTGATGTTTTTGTATCGGACTCATTGAGCACTAATTCAAAACAGTCAAATTTCCATAGATACCTCGTAGTATAAGCTTCGTAACAACCATTCCATCCTTTTATTTCCCAAGGTTAATTTTTAACTTTCATGGATGGTTACATTACATTTCCTTTCAAATAATTAATAATAATAATCTCGAATTGGGCGCTAAATCAAAATGACACCATCTAACTGACCAGGTCCTTCATTCTCGTAACCTGTTTGCTGGATAAGATGTCGATGTTGTAGGGAGAAGTGAAATGTTAATCAGCCGAGGGGTTGATGTCCATCTGTACGTTTACCGGATCAATATCAGTATCTGGGCAACTGCCCACCTACCCCTCCCCTAACCTAACATTAACCCTAACTTGTTATCAATAGACTGTTGTTGGGTTAGGGGAGGGGTAGGTGGGCAGTTACCCAGATACTGATATTGATCCCGTTAACCTATGTACTGATACGTTTCGCTATTCCCATCACCAGTCCGCTGGATGATACACTAGTGTTGCAAGAAGAGATCGAGGTTAAAACACTTCTGGAAGTAGTAGGGTTGGTTCTTCTATACGTTTGTCCTTCACAGTATGCCGCTAATTTATGGAAGATGTCGCACACTAGAAACTCTCTTCTGCCTTTGGGCATCCAGTTCATCTTTTGGCGACTCCTGCCACGTATAGCACATTCAATTATTTTGCTGTTGTTGTGTTTTACAGAGTCTTCTGAGTCATCGCAAAAGGTTTTGGAGGCTGAAACAAACGCCATAGTAAAGTGGAGTAAGAAATATCCGTTTGTATTGGCGGCCAGTTTATATGGAGGTTCACTTGTTGCAAGCTATCCCTTTGATGCCCACCCTAAGGGTCGCTCACTTCCCCACCCTACCCCTGACGACGACGTCTTCCGTTACTTAGCAAGTACTTATGCTAACTCACATCCATCGATGCATTATGGGAAGCCGTTATGTCCAGGCCCTTCGGTCGGGGAGGAGTTTCCTAAAGGTATCACAAATGGAGCAGCTTGGAAGAGCAAGGAAGGTGGCATGAAAGATTACATGTACCAAAGTTCCAACTGTTTTGAGATCGGAATACACATGGGCTGTTGTAAATTTCCCTACGCACAGGAGTTGGAGCATCATTGGAAAGAACACAAGGACCCTCTGTTCTTTTTTGTGTTTCAGGTAAGGAACATAACTCTTCGAAAATTAAACTTTGCTTTTCGCACCGTCTACTTCATGCAGATGGGAGAACATGAGAACTTTAGTTCCTGAACTCTAATGAATACATCGCGACGCGAGCCACCCGCGCACACACGATGCGAGCCACTTAACCGTACCTAGTACTGTACCGTACCGTACCGTACCGTACCGTACCGTACCTCATTACAGACATGGCGAAGGTTCACCTTCACCGCGTCTCTCTTCCAGTATACTCGAAGTATGGCTAGTCACCAATTATTTGGGGAACTTGAAAAAAGTTATGGAATAAGTATCTAGTTTGAAACGAGGATGCCTTCAGTCTTTTCTTCGTAAAGATCTGAGCAGAATTAACTCTCTCTCTATTTTGTGATACCTCTGACGATGAACTTAATTTAATATAAATCAGCTGTATTCTTTTCTGTTTTCTTTTTATATTCTTTGAGTGATGAGATGCTGTTTTCTTTTTGGGCAGGTTCATCGAGGTGTAAAAGGCTTCGTTTATGATGATGCAGGCTCCCCTATCTCTAACGCAGTAATCTCAGTAGAAGGCCGTGATCATGACGTCACAACTACCAAAGACGGCGATTTTTGGCGAATTCTTACTCCAGGGAAGTATAAAGTTTCCGCTTCAGCGCCAGAGCGGCAAAAAGTGACGTTGGACGTCCAAGTTCATCCAAATGAGCCTGCGTTACAAGTTAAGTTTACCCTGCCTCGACAACATTTAGTGTTTGGCCTACCAGCGGCTGTTATGGTGGGAATATGCGTCCTGGTGGCAGCAGTGTTCCTCCTATTTGTCATAGGACTGTGGCGTTTGGCGCGTTACAGAAAACAACTCACCGTGCGGAGAAATGGATATTTGATGGATTTTGAACACGAACGATCGATAAATTCGTTTAATTCTAAGGCGTTACTGAACAATGAGTATTCAGATGATACTGACGATGACGAAGAGGATATAGTTTTAGAGAATGTCAGACGATAATAATGCAATTTAGATTAGTTATCCAAAAGAATTGAAAGCCATCATTTTGCAAGTGGCTTTTGTTATAGCTTTTAGTGTCTCTGGGCTTCAGACACTTTTGAAAATTCAAATTTATCTATTTTTGGATACTGTACAATCTGAGTAATTCTAAGTGGACAAATTGATGTTGAAATAATTTTAAATTGAAAAATGAAAATAATGGAAATGATACTTGTTAATCACTTTAGGGAGTTAAGGTTTAAGAGTACAATTGTTAATAGGGCTGGAATATGGCCGCTGGGGGGG